TTACCCTCACAGAAGAGAGAAACAGACCTTTCAGGCACATTTCAAGCAATGTGATACTATCAATTTGTTCTTTTGTAAAAAGAGAGCTGGGCTGGGTCAGCCTGGAGAAGGCTCCTTAAGGAAAGAGCAGCTCCAGTGCCTAAAAGGACTACAGGAAACCTGGAGAGGGGCTTTGGACAAGGGCCTGTAGGGACAGGCCAAGGGGAATGGCTTTAAGCTGCCAGAGGGGAGACTGAGATGAGCTCTTAGGCAGAAGCTCTTCCCTGTGAGGGTGCTGAGGCGCTGGCACAGGGTGCCCAGAGAAGCTGTGGCTGCCCCATCCCTGGCAGTGTTCAAGGCCAGGTTGGACACAGGGGCTTGGAGCAAGCTGCTCTAGTGGAAGGGGTCCCTGCCTGTGGCAGGGGTTGGGGCTGGAGGAGCTTTAAGGTCCCTTCCAACACAAACCAGGCTGGGATTCTATGATTCTTCAAAAAACAAGTTTTAAAGCTCAAAACTAGATTCATAATTAAAGGCATTCAGCTAAAATGTTTTACCTAAAGCAGCTAAATAACCATTCCTCCGCATTGCCTGAAACCAAAACACTGCAGCAGCAAGAATCAGAAACCGAAGCTGACAAATTATTTTAATTCTCTAAACTAGAAATAAAGAGGGGAGAAAAACCCACAAGCATGAGTAATAACATCAGATTAATATCCTTTTGCTTCAAAAGCAATATTCAATGTACGTAGACACACATTCATTTGCAATAGCCCTCAAGTTTAGGGGAGTTCTTTCACATCATCATTTTTTCTATGCTCTTCTGTTAGTTTTCTTCCATCTGCTAAGGCTATATTTATCCTCCTACCATAATTATACAACTCCATTTAGTGATGGAACTAGTGTAGAGACTCGCATGCTTTTTTTGCTGCATGACAGGCATTGACTTAAACAAACCAAGGTGCCTCTACGCAACGTCTTGTCAGTGTTTCTCAGTGTGTAAGAACTACCCACACCTATAACAGGATACTTGGACCACGTGGATGACTCCAGGGGAGGGTTGTTTGGGTAAAACAAGTCTTCCCAAGTTATCAGTGCTTCAAATTGCCATTTTAGGCAGGTTTCGATGCTTCTATCCATGGCTATGCATTTCAAATGTGGAAATTCAAGGTGATTGTAATGACTTTTTAAACAAGATCAATGTTCACCGAGACAATCACTCCACTAATCTGTTATAAGCTTCCCGATAGATAAGTCGGATTCTTGAGTAAGGATGTGAATGCTGAATAAGGAGAAGCCCCTGTGTGAGGTGGAAAGAGATGGGATGTAAGCTCAGGGGTGGTTGGGATGAATGGGAAGGTCTAGGACACAAACATTCCGAGCTGGATAAATGGAGGGGCTGGTGAGCACCTGGGAAACCAAGAGGAAAGAGGATGAACAAAGCTGCCCAGCCCTCTACAGTACTTCAGAGCAGCAACAGAGGAAGCAGCAGAAGGATCTAATGATTCTGTTCAGCATGGTCAGACCAACAGGCATGGAAAATGGTTTGGACAGTGAGGTTTTCATCAGATATAAAATGGCACATACTGGGGCAAAGGAGGAAACTGCAGGAACCAGAAAGCACAAAGAGCTTTTGTGACCTAGGCAGGAAAAGGAGAGGCTGTATTTGCAGAAGGCAGCACTCTATTTACTACCAATAAATGAGAAAAGGCTCCTACCAACAAACACCAAAATAGCGTGGGATCAGGATTTGTTATACCACTTATCTCCGTAACACAGAGTAACCTTCACTTGCAATTTGGAACCTTGATGCAAATTCAACCTGAATATGGTTTGGGAAGAAGCAGCCAATAAGGCTGAATCTTGTCTTTTACTTCAGGTTCACGTTTAAGCACTGCATTAAAAATGGTCTACTGGCATCTGAAACCTCCAAAGATGAGAATGAAGTAAGATTTAGCTGTACCTGGAGTACCTGAGCAGGCACATGGAAAGATACGAAAATAGATTAGACAAGAGAAACAGGTAATTACAATGAATGATCTGCTACATGCAGCCAGCACAGTACAAAGAGTGCTTTCCTAGGACACTATTAGGTAAAGAGCTTTAGTTTCTAGATGATTTCTAAATCAGAGATTTATTTACAATCTGGCCACCACCTCTGGAGCCGGCGGGGAGGGAGGCAGCAAACAAGCATCTCAAAGTGGTATAAAAAGTTCCCTGTTCCATTGGATTTCAAACATGCAAATGCAGTTATTCAGCTTATTCCCTGCTGCTCCCTCTGCACACCAGCATTTCTGAGGGAAAAAACATGAAATCTGCTGTTAAGAGAATTTACAAGTCTATCGGGAATTGTCTCTTCAGCATAGGTGGTACTTGGATAGGAAATGCATTTCCTATTGTGGCAGATGCTGAGCACCACAAAAACCAACTCCTTACCTGCGTGGCTGCGTTTCACCCCGAGAGATCTACACATCTCGCTGCGTATCAGAGCTGATTTATCGCTCCTCAACCATCACCCAGAGGTGAAAGGAGAATCCTTCTCTGCCCTCCCGCATGGCACCCCATGGGCGCACTGGGAGCTGCTGCCTCGGGGCTGGCATGGAGCTCCGCAGAGGAAACACTCAACTTCCAGGTCCTCCCTGAACTCAGCACCACCCACCAGGCACCGAACCGGGAAAGGGAGCATCAGAAATAAAACAAACTGACTCAAACCACATGTTAGCGGGCATGATGCATCGAGACGAGAAAATGCCACAGGGAAACTGAGGCCGGGAGGGCTGACCCGGCAGAGGGACGAGGGCCCAAGGCTGCGCATCCCCTCGGAGGCACGGATGGAGCCTGACCCGTTTCTGATGGGGGGGACACACACCTGGCATGGCATCCCCCTGCCACACAGCACCGCGAGTAAACGATGCCACAGCAAAACAGCCTCAACGGGCTCAAAATAACACAGGGGACTGCAACGGAAATTAGGGAAAAATAAAGACAATAATGTGAAAAATAACCCAAACAATAATTAAAGTGCATCTTCCTCTCTGGAAAACCACAACCCTTTTCCTCCTAAGCTCTCAGTTCTTAACCCCATGTGATTCAACACGACAAAACTTGCTGGAACCCCCGGAACAACCCACAAGTGACTACGGCTTCTCCCTGCCTCACCAAGCCTGGGGCGCTGAGGTGGCGGCACCGCCATGTCCCGGCCCGCCGGGACCCCACCGTCCTCCGGGACCGCGGGCACGGCGGCTCTCGGCCCCGTCCCGTCCCTCCCGCTCCGGAGACCGACAAGGACTCGGCCCCGGGCCGCAGCCGGGGCATGCGAGGGGCGCTGAGGCGCTGCCGGCGGGCAGGGAGCCGGGGCAGCGCTCACCGCTTACCTCAGGCAGCCCGGCGCCGTCTCCGTGGGCTCCGCCGCTCTCCCCGCACGGCGCAGGTTCCCCGTCAGCCCCGCTCCTCAGCGCTCCATGGCTCCGCCGCTCCCCGCAATGGCAGCAGCACGAAGCGGCAGCGGCTCCGAGCGCGGCCACCACCTGCCGGGGCTGCGCCGGCGGCTCGGCTGCTCCCCGCTCCGCTCCGCTGCCGGCCCCTGTGGGCGCGGGGCGGGCTCGCCTCAGCTCCCGCTTCCCGCCCGGCGGGCGGGGCGGCCTGAGGGGCGGCCATGGGGCGGGCCGGACCGGACCCGCGGCCTCACAGACCCGCAGCGGCCGCCGTGAGGGGAGCGGCGGGGGCCGGGGGAGCCCTCTGGAACCGGCGGGCCTGCCCCGGGGGGGGAGCTTGGGCCCAGCACTGCTCGGTGCGGGAGCCGGGAGGGGACACCCCCCCTCACCTCAGCCCTCCGGGACGGGCAGGAGCCCTCGGGGCCTCGCTGCCCGGGTTTGGGCAGCAGCCGTGCTGCCGCAGGGTGCCCAGGAGTAAGGCAAGAAGCCGGTTCATTATCGCTGCACCAACAGGGGCAGAGCGGGGGCTTTTCAGTCTGGAGAAGGCTCGGGGGGGACCTGATGGCTCCCTACAAGTGCCTGACAGGAGGATGGAGCCAGGAGGGGCTGGGCTCTGCTCCCAAGGAACAAGGGATGGGACAAGAGGAACCGGCCTCAAGCTGCCCCAGGGCAGGTTTAGATGGAGCTGAGGAACAATTCCTGCCCCAGAGGGTGCTCAGGCATTGGAACAGGCTGCCCAGGGCAGGGCTGCAGGCACCGTCCCTGCGAGTGTTCACACAGCGTGGAGGGGAGGCCTCAGTGCCATGGGGCAGCGGTGGCCTTGGCAGGGCTGGGAATGGTTGGACTTTGTGATCTCAAAGGTCTTTTCCAACCCGGTCGATTCTGTGGTTCATGGCACTTTGAGGACCTGCCTTAGAAAACACTGCCGCCCTCTGCGCCCAAAGGCAGGCATGGAGGGTACCGCAGCCTGGCAGAGGAGCCACTGGAAGGTATTTAGGCACCATCACCCACCTGAGTGGAAAGCCACTGGCGTAACCTGGCCATGCTGGCCAACACTCGGCTGCTTCTCTTACATGTGCAACAGCAAAACGCTCACCTCGGCGCGCTAAAGCCGCTGTATGGTCACAGCATCCAGAAACACCCATGATGTGGAAGATAACTCATTTTACATGGTTTTTGTTACAGTAGGAACGTCTGTTTGATCCCAATGGCCATGAGGGTGTTTGATGTCTCCATCAAAAGCCAAGTTTCTGGAGTAACGATGTGAAGGACTTAATTCACAGTTTAGAAGGGGACGTTTCTAGTCTCTGCGGTAGCAGAGCAGCCTTTGAAAGCTTTATAAAGCCTTTTAAAAGCTTAATGAACCCTCTCCAAGTGCCAAAACCTCAGAATCCTGAATGCAAAATAAAATGTATTCATTATGGAACTGTTTAAATTAAGAGTTAAACTCTATTTGTGGATGACACAGAGACCCTTGATTAATGACTACAGCCTCTGAAAACCGAACACAAGGCTGCTGTGTTGTAACTTCGCCCAAGTACCACCCCATAGCCTAGTATCCCACCGGCCCCCAGTACGGACCATACCAGATCCGGATAAACCACTCTTTATGCAGTGCAGTGTAAAGGAACAATATTGAATGAAAGTTTTGTACCATATAATCATAAAGAGAGGGGAGAAAAGGCTGTAGAGCTGTTCAGTTACGTTGTGGTAAAGCTAAGAGCTGATAACTGCTTGATGGAGTTCTATAATATAGAGAAGTTTCCTTTTGCATACACAAAGTAGAAAACTAATTATGAATAAATTATAATTTTCCCTTCTCTCAAATAAGGGCAAATTTATCTCTGTGCATGAAGTGTAAAGCAAGTGTCAGGCTGCTAAGAGTTGTAATTCAAATGGCGATGTGGGTATATACTGTATTGCCTTCGTTACTTCATATTGCAAAGAAGAAAAGCAGCCTCCATGGATACATGGTGCTGTAGTGCCAGAGTTGTTAAAGCAGCTGAAAAGCAGTCTCTCCAATGTTTTGCACTGTTATAACTTACCACCTCATCCTTTCCTTTGCCAGCAAAAGACCTCTCCAGACACATACTAGCCTATCCCGAAGTCCCAAAAATAGAAAGATTTGCACCACTAGCTTGAATACCTTTTACCAATGTCATGGTTGGATGTGGAACTATGCTTATGTTTGGTTACAGGAGCTGAACTTTGTCCTCTCACACTAAAGCAAGGCACCAGAGGCTGAGATTGGGCAGGAAGAGGAGCTCTCACCTTGCAGAGCAACCAGCAAGGCTTTTGTGCCTGGGAGCACATCCAGTCCTGCAGAAGAAGGTAACTTAGTGCCTTATCTTTACTGAGCAGCTCTCCTGGGATGGTTCAACCTGGTGCAAAGCAGCAGCAGCCAAAGCAGCCTGTGTGGCAGTGTCTGCAGGCGCCCTCCTTGCGATGGGGCTGTGAGCCTCTGCAACCCTGCTCAGGGTGACACTGTAGGTCTGAATGCACTGGGGTGGCTCACAGCCCCATACACTGACAAGGATGGACACAGACCAGTCCTGCCCCAAGCCTCACCCTTGGGTAGAGGACGCCTTCAGTTTTGTCATGTGAAGGATGTGCTTTTGGGAAGGAATAAGGCACATGGGTCCCAATTGCCTCAAGAAGAGGCAAGCTGGACCAGCACCAGTCCTAGTCTGACCTGTACTTCATAGGCCTTTAATTTCACCAGTTTCCTGCTGCTCAGCCCTGTGTGTCTGACTAAAGCCTCTCTCCCAAAGTCTCCCAGCCTGGGTGAGGAGGTAGGACAGAGGAAGCACCACGTAGCAGAATGTTCCTCCTCTGGTTGCTCGCTGCCAGCAGTAAAACATGTACTTAACACTCCAATTTGAACTTGTCTGACCTCAGCTTTCAAGCAGCGGTTCTTACGCCTTCCTCTGCTAAACCAAACACTTGGAGTATTTGACATGCTAATAAAGTCACTGCTTAATCCACTGTTTGATAAGCCAAGTAGATCAAGCTCTCCACATTGATTATACATGGCATTTTCTTCTCTCTTTACACATTTTTACAATTTTTCTAGGCCTCTCTAAACATGCCAATCCCTTTCCCAAAATTTGGGCTGCAAAACCATTTGTAGCGTTTCAGAAGCATGAAGGAGCAGTGCATAGAAGCAAGGTGATCCCCTTCCACCACGAATGCTGCCTTGGTCAGAGAGTCGTGTAAGAAATCTGATGTACAAGGATGCTCAGCTTGTTAGGTTCAGCAGCTCTTCTCTGGATTCTAGATTAAATCTCTGTGGCTTAGGCTGACAAATCCTCAGTTGTTGCGTGTGAAGCCTTTTGCAGAGCTGTTTCTTAACTATAAGCACCACACAGTTATGGCAGGAAACCCTTATCTTCTAGGCTACAAGGCCAGGAACATTAATATCTTGCTCTTAGTCCCCCCCAGCCCTCAGGGAGCACATACTATCTTTTAACTCCCTGGCCATAAGGAATAGCAGTAATCCTGATACAGCCAACTATTCACAAACACTGAGGAGGTTCCAAAGCCTAACAGCAGACAGAAGTGCTTCACCCTGACAGGAGGACCTGGTTGTTACTGCTGTGTGGTAGCTTGCTGCAGCAGTAGCCTCAAATGATCCTCCTCTCCTCACAGCCCTCTGACATCCTATTGGAAACTCAAATACTGGTAGCAAAGGCTGATAGAGGGAGGATGAGATGAAGAAACTCCTTCAAGCTCATCCTGTGATCATATCCCAGGCTGTGTTATTCTTATCTTCCTCCACTGAATCTGCCAAGTCAACTTCAAGAAGTCATCCATGGCATTGATGTTCCACCGACCCAAAGCACTCGCGATCTGCACTAGAACTGAACACTGTAAGCTGCAAAGCTTCCTGCTCTTACACTGCTGGACCAATATTTACCAAATACCAGCCATGAGCACAGACTTTTCACTATCAGCAAGCTCTAACCATCCAAAAGGACTGAATTCCCCTGAATGTGACTGATATCCTGCCAGCCCTGTGAAGAGGCTGTGACTTACACTCACCAATGCTGTTTAATTAGTGCTGTTGTCATCTGTAACTCTCAAACATGCAATACCCAGGCAAACCCTGTATTCCCACTTGTGCCACATCAGCTTAGCCAGTTCATGGCCAAACCTCCTCATTCCTGTGAGGCCACAGAGAAGCTGCCCAAAGGCCATCTCCAAGCACATCTCTCCAAAGCTGATATCCATCACAGCTTAGCACATATTTAGGCCAAGGCATGGAGATGAAGTTGTTTTACTGGTAGTGATGAATTGGGCTCCTCCTCTCAGAAGGTAGGAGAGAGGCATCTGTTCTCATTCTCCAGAGTCACTCCACACTTAAACTTTTAATCCTGGGATCCCACAGCCTTCCATACAGGAACTGGCAGGATAATACACTATGTGGCTTTGGGTGCTTTCTGAAAGGGAACATCCATTTCACTGAAATGGGGCTGTCTTCCTCCACTGCTGGACCTTCCCCTTACAAAGTCACATCCTCATCAGTGGACAGACAGCTGGTGAACACTTAGGTGCCAACAATGCAGAGATGATGCACGGATGGTCAGTAATGCACTAATGCAGTAACTCAGGGGCATTTCTGGATGCACTGTTGACACTGAGCTCTCATTTACCAGTCTGAGTAATGCTTTCCATTCTTGGAAAAGGATGGAAAAGGATAGAAATTTCCAGGATGGAAAATTGCCTTCTTACCATTTCTGTCCCATGCTGGTGTGTGACTGTGGTTCTTCAGGCCTTCATCCCCTCTCAGCTGAGAAGGAAGGAAGGAAGGGCACATGAGAACATGCTGGGAAGGAAGCTCAGGGCACATCAGAAACTCCAGCTGGTACCCAGGACATTGTAGAGCATCACCCCAGCAGCTCCAGGAACCATCCTGGACTCAAGTTCCCCATAAAACAAAACCAAGTGCAGGGTCCTCTCCTACCTAATCCTCTGTGCTACAAACCCACCATAGCCAAAAAGCTGCTCAGTAAGATGCTGAGTATTGCCAACACCTCCATTACTGCTGGATGGTGGAGCTTTGAGGCCAGAAAGTAAAACTGTCTGAGGATCAAATCCAAGGATATGGAATGAACCAAGAAGTAGATATCATTAATAATGTGTCACCAATTATTGCTCCATGTGAACTGTACATTTCTTGGGCTTTGCTTTCTCTACTGTAAAGAAACAGAGCAATGTGCATGTAAAAAGGTGGGGGAAAGTCCCTCTTACCAAAATAGGACACTATTGCATCCATATTTTTTCCCTAAGGAGACAGAAAAACACTAACCTGGCAGATGTTACTCATTCTGCTTAATGCACTCATATTTTGGTGATAAATGTGGTAGGAGAGCTTGTACAGAATAGAATAAATGGCTTTAGTGAGGTACTGTCAAAACAGTAAGAAGAAGATGTGTTTCCCATTAAACTAAAGAGGGAGTAAAAGCAAATGTGTTTTGAATGAGGATGGCTGGCATTAGGGATGCTAAAAATAAGGGGAAGTGAAGGGGAACGCAGTCCTTACTCCACTGCCAAGAAAGAGGAAAATGGTTCTGTCTCTAAGGGGAAATGACTTCTCTCCCATCTCTTCTTTGCTGGTTGACCAGTTGAGGATCCACCATGAAGAACATCACAGGCAGGAAGGTTTCCCAGATCCTGGGGTTCCTGTGCCCTCCAGCACTCCCCAGCAGGCAGCACAGCCCCAGAGCTTCCACTGGGAAGCTGGTTCCTGTTTTGTGGTATTTCACACAATCCTCTGGCTTTGTTCCCCCTTTGTCCCTCCTCCAGAATTTCTCTTTCAGAGGAGTTTTCTTGGCATTCAAGTGGAGAAGGTGGCCAGTGCCTCCCGCATCATTGTCTTCCTTCCTCCGTGCCTTTGGTTCATGAATCCCAAACAGCTTTGTCATCTTCTTCCCCTTCCATAAAGGCCTTGGTACCAGAGAAAGGAATTCAGGGGAAAACTGATGGGAGGCTGCAGGCTGCCGGGAGATGAACAGAACAATATGGAAACCAGGGAGGAAATAAATGCTCTGAATACTCTGAGATCAATGAATTAATTCATTGTCCAGGATTAATGAGTGCTTGTGCTCCCTCTGTCCTTCCACTGCAGCTGAAGCAGCTCATATGTATCAAATAGAGGGGAATTAAGTGGGGTATAACAGATGCTTCTGTGCTCCTGGCATCAGGCAATACAATTCACCCACCACATTTAACACCATCAGGAGAAGAATTGTTGCTTTCAAGAGCTGAGGGAAGGCAGACTGAGCAGGAGGGACAAGGTGCAGGGCAGGCATTTCATCCCTCCTTAGCATCCTGGTAGTATTAGAAACCTGGTTGGGATAAATGCATGGAACAGTGAGTTGTGCTGTGAAGGAGACACTTCCCATCCCTTCAGAAGTTCATTGGGAGGCTGTTAGTAAGTCCTTTTCCTCACGAGTGGATGACAAGACTGCTATCGATTCCCAAGTCAGGCACATAGAGAGAGAAATCCAGCAATCCAGACAGCCCCACCACCCAGAGAAAGGATCAGCTGGTTTTCCATATGAAAAGAGCAGGAAAACCAAACCCCTGAAGCTTGTTCATTTTAAACCCCTCTAAAATACAATGGGCTTCTTAAACACAGGAATTTCTCATTTCTAACCCAGCATGCAGGTATAGCCTGCAGTGGTCCGGACTCCAGGAGGTGGGAAGCAGTGGTGGCATGAAAGGCTTTGTCACAGCATAAAGCCAATGGGGATTACTCTGTGGATGAGTTCTCCTTCTGGAATAAGTTTGAAAACCAGAACATTTCTGCTTAAAGACAAGAGTATTTCAGTGCAGAAGTAACACTGCAGCACTTGCAGGGAGGTGAGGTTGAGATGACGCAGACTCTGCTTTCCTCTATCGGCTTTAGGGAACCGGGGGATTCTGAGCCCTGGGACAGCTGTAAAATAAATGGAAAAATCCCAGCAGGAAGGTGGATTTTGCGCCCTGTTTGGAATTGGTTTTAGCAGGGAGAGCAGGACAAAGCAGGGTTTTTTCCAGGCAGAGCACAGAGAAGGGAGGACGCGTCTGTCACTTGGAGCGCTGCAGCTCTCGCACACTGCTCCGTGCAGGCGCTTCCCTCCTCTTCCTCCCCCTCAACCACCCAGTACCGGCTGACAGGGCTGCCAGACACGGAACTGATTCACTGCACAGAGCCCCTCATGAGCATCCCAACCCCTGCGAGGGTCAGAGAGGGAAACGGAGCTCAAGGGCAGAGCTGGCACGCAGGGAAACAGGCTCTGAATAGCTCCCATCCTCACAGCGAGCACTCGCTGGCACGCAGCCTGAAACCCAGTGCTGATGCATCCAGCCCAGTTTACAGAGCTGTGGGAGGGAGGCCTGGCCTGGCGGCTCCATGTGGATGAATCCTGTGAAAATACAGCCACTAACAATGTTTTTCAGCTCTTTGCTTGCATAAGAGCTGAGGCTGGAAGGGCCCTGTAGTTATCTGATGAGGGAACCAGCCAAAGTCCCATCGGATAAACTGATCTGATCACAAGTCATACACGAAACAGATACAAGAAATGAAGTCCTGACATCACAAAACCCAGCATTTCCTAACAGATGAAGAATAAGAGTTTCAAAGTGCCAGGAATCAAGCCACTTCGTTTAATTAAACATCAACATTTTACATGGAATAGAAAAACAGGTTTACTTTGAAACAAATACTGAAGGCTCAGCACTGCAATGAAACACAGGTTTAACATCATTTACCCTCAACAAATAGCTACAACCACAGATTTCTGTGAAGATTCAACCCATTCTCTCAAATGGCCTTTTGCTTCCCACATCCATTGTGGAAATCCCAAGTGATGATTCCTGCACCACCCATTCTCCATTATGATACCTTATTCAGGTATCAGATCCCAACTGGACACAGCCCTGGGCAGCCTGCCCTTGCTGACCCTGCTTTGAGCATGGGGTTGGACTAAACAGTGTCCAGAAGTCCCTCCCCACCTCTGCTGTTCCATGATTCTGTTCACACAGTACTATTCCTGTCAGGATACTTCCAAATCACCAACCCAAGCTGGATATATGCTCACCCAAATGATTTATTCTGCACACCATTTCCTTATAGCTGCTTAGGGAAGATCACCAAGAGAGCTAAAAAACCCCACCAGCTATTGCACTGTATGAGATTTATGCCTGTTTTGTCCTAACACAGACCTCACCGTTCCTCCAGGCAGACTTCCAAGCCTCCATCCCAGGGTGCTGGGGACAGTAATGCTTTCCCTGGATCAGCTCCAATGGCAGTAACTGGAGGAGACACATCCCAGTGCTATGGACCTGCCTGGCAATCAATGAGAGAGACCTGAGCTGAAGCCAGCCCAGAGGCTGGGATCAAAAGGGACCATGTAAAGCTATGATAGAAGCACAAACACAGACCAGCACAACCCGCAGGAAGGCTGAACTTAAATAGAGCCCCTGGGCAGGGCCTGTGGGGGCATGGCCCAGGTGAGGCTGGTCAGGGCTCTCCACTTCTCACATTGCAAAGGGATTTACTCTCTTTTCCCACCAGGAAAACCAAGGAGAACCACAGCAGGGTCACTGTGCCAGGAGCAGGAGGCAGGTACAGCACTCACTCACCTTTTGGACTGCTGCACGGGAGGGAATGGGAGCTTCTTCCACACTTCAGCCTCCCTTTCCCAGTCCCAATCTGCAAGTCTGAGTCTAGATGAATGCCTGTGAACTGGCCTGTGAAATCCCTCTTGGAAGTCCATCAGGCATCTGGATGACAGGTCCCTGCTACTTCACACTTCTTCCCTTCGGCTCTGCATGTGTTCTGAGCAGAACGGATGGCTCCAAACTGCCTAAGGGCTACAACAGATCTGTACAATGTAGTGCTTTCCCTGAGACAAATTCAGCACATGAGGAACATTCCCTCCATGCTGGCCTGTAGCACTCCCATGCTTCTCATCCCCCTTCCCAGTTGTTCATCTCGGCTCATGACATCATTCCCCTTAGGAATCACAGTCTTTCTCTGATTTGAGTCAACCTTCTGCTTTTCCTTTTCCAGGTCACTATACTTGGTAAATAGGGCACAGAGCAGTTGTAGCTGTCTGCTGTGAGCCCTGTCCTCTGGCTGGCTCAGAGCTGCGTGCAGGACCCACTCCTATCTCTTACAATGTGCTTTACAAGGCAGTTTTCTTCACTCCTTCTCATCTCCTTTATTGTCATTGCCTCTGCTTGCACACACACAGAGAAACCCACAACAGCAGAGTGCAGACCAAGGAAGCTGCACCTCATGCGCAAACATCCTCAGCAGGCCACAGCCACTGACAGCAGGGCTGTGGACACACAGCGTTTGCACAGTGGTGGTGGCTGTTGAAGCCCAAACACCTTCCCTGAGGACACTGCTCTGTGTCAGCCCCATGAGCAACCCTGAGCAGCAGCTCCTGGTCTGTCACTGGCTGAAGGAGGCAGCTACGTGATCTGTAGGGTTATAATGTCATAGAATCCCAGATTGGTTTGTGTTGCAAGGGACCTTACAGCTCATCCAGTTCCAGCCCCTTGCCATGGGGGTTTGCCCTCTCCCGGTTTCCTGCAGCCCCTTCAGGCACTGGAGCTGCTCTCAGGTCTCCCCTTCAGGAGCCTTCTCTTCTCCAGGCTGCCCCAGCCCAGCTCTCTCAGCCTGGCTCCAGAGCAGAGCTGCTCCAGCCCTCGCAGCATCTCCATGGCCTCCTCTGGCCTTGCTCCAACAGCTCCACGTCCCTCTTGTGCTGCTGCCCCAGAGCTGCATCAGGGCTGCAGGGGGGGTCTCCCCAGAGCACAGCAGAGGGGCTGCTGGCGGTGCAGCCCAGCACACAGAGGGGTTCTGGGCTCAAGCACACACTGATGGGTCATTCCCACTGATCAGAGAAAGAGCAAAGGGGACCCACAGTTATAAAGAGCTAATAAAATGATGTCTTTTCCGAGCCTATTCTCAAACCCCACAGATTGAAACCAAAAAGAAACCCCCAGGCCCCCGCATGGGGAGGAGCAGCTCCTCAGCTGGTGTTTTCATGGCCCACCACCAAAGCAGAGGGATGACAAGCTGTTCCAGCAAAACAGCATCAGGTTCTGCAGCTCCCTTCTGACATTAGGCAGGCAGAAGACTAAATAATTATGTCGGTGCCAGGCTCTTCTGGCCCAGATCTTTAATCATCATCTGAAGCTTGAAATAAGGCTCCAAGTGTTTCCTTCCAGCACAGGTTGCAAGCCAGAGCCTGCGGCTCCCAGCACTGCCAGCTTTGATTTGGGAGAATTAGCAGCGAGGCTGTTCGTGGCTTTCCCATTACACCCATTCTGCTTCCCATCACACCAGAGGCTTGTGACAAGCTGCTGGTTTCAATGCTGAGCTTCTCTCTACAAGTAGGAGCAGAAGGCTGGTTGGTTGGTGCCAGTCCTCAGTGCTGTGCTCACGTTTGAAGGCATAAATAGATGGTTTTAAAGTCATTTTGGGCGATAGGAAAAGGGCTTTGTTTGCCATCAGGATGGACCCATCCAGGGCCATGTAAAGAGGTGCTGCACCTTGCTGGTGACAGGAAAGGCAGGACAAGACGCTTAATTACAGCCAGGCTACAAAGAGAGGTGTGACCTTTATCACACGCAGGCTCCACACAGCCCAGAGACCTCCCTGTCCACGGCTTTCCATCGACATGAAAAGCCCCCCCCAGGGTCTCCTTCCCTTCATCTCTCTTCATCATCTGTTTTCCCATTCATTCCCCAGCAGCAGGACACCGCGTTATTTCCTAAGCCATCAAGAGTGACTTTCAGCTCTCCTGAAGAGAGCTTCTCAGTGCCTCTCCCTGCATTGCTGATGACAGCTCTTGCATAAGCAGCTCCTGATGGGTTCTAATTAGAGCCTCACACAGACAATTCACTTTGCCTTTGTTTAGCATAATTAGTGAACAGAAGGACACCTGCCAAACCCAAGCGGGATTCCAGCCCTGAAGGTGCTGCCCTTTCCAGTTTGGCTCTTATGGAAGGGGAGTTGTTCTTGTGGGTGCTGTTGGTGCTCCTAGAGCTGTGTGCCAGCAGTGCAGTGCTCTGTTGGGAGAGCCACAACCCTGCCACTGAGGCTTTGGGAATGCAGCCGTCCAGAGGAGGCCATGGAGATGCTGTGAGGGCTGGAGCAGCTCTGCTCTGGGGTTGAAACTGGATGAGCTTTAAGGTCCCTTCCAACCCAAACCAGTCTGTGTTTCTGTAGCTGTGCCTGAGAAGGGGTTGTGCTGCAGGTGTAATTGCTGTGCAGCATTTAGAGCTCTTGTGCACTTCAGAATGACGTATCTACCCTTAAAAACCAACACTCAAACTACTGCCACAAGCAGAACCCCGCTGCCATGGATGGAGTGTGTCTCCAGTACATAGAGGGGGAACTGGGTTTTGAGTATCCACCAGCCCCGATCCAATCCTGAACACAGGCCAGCAGCTCAGCACTGGCCAGGCACACACTGCTCCAGCCCCTTGCATGCAGTGGAGCACCAGACAGGGAAAGCCACCCTCCAACACCGCTTTACAGAGTGCCTCTGCCCAGGCACCATCCCTGCACCCAGGAATAAGCAAATGTGGTCCTGCTCCTGTGTAAATCACATATATCAGCTGCCCAGCAAAAGGAGGCTGCTGTGAACATGGAATGAACCACAGTTATCCAACAGGACGTGGGAACTACTTGGCTTTGTTAAACAAGGGAATGACCCGAAGCTGAGGGTTAGAATACGTGAGGAAAGCATGTGGTAACTCACCGCAGCTCTTCATTCCCTTTCCCAAAGGCAGACACTGCCCACAGGAGCTGCAGCTGTAACTGGAGCCTGGGAAAGGGCAGGCAGCAGCGGATGGCGGATTCAGGATACGCAGGTTTTGGCTTTCTACAAGAGCAGAGAGAGGGAAGGAGCAGACTGAGTGTCCATCCCACAGGAATGCAAACGCCACACTGGAAGCCTGCTCCAGGAAGTGCTTATTGAACAAACGCACACAGCTGCATCCTGCCCTCCCTGCGGTCAGGACCGGGTTCACCTGCACTGTCAGACCCTGGGACTGGGGATACGGCCTGGAGTCTGCTTCAGGAAAGGCACAACTACACAAGGGATTAGATTGCTTGATTCCACAGTAATTACACTTAAAACCTTCTGGGTTTGCTGAAGCACAAGGGATCAGGTAACATTTGCAGTATTTCTTACAGGGACAGCAGGGGTTTTGTAAATACCAGGTCAATCAGTGTTTCTAAGGAGCACCACTGGCACTGGCCATGAAAGCCTCACAGTGAGATGGCAGAAGCACCCAGGAGGACAGGCCAGGCTTCCAGAGGTGGGAATAGCTGGATATCCACTCACTTCCCTAAGGGAGACATTCTGCACTGCTTTGTTAATACAGAACCCTCCAGCACAGCTGAGGAACGCCAAGGCTGGGAACGCTCTTCTCCCATTAGATCAGAGGCATGTCAGAGTCCTTCATGATGGGGGAGCAATGAACTCCTGCCTCTTCTCCAGGAAAGCCTTCCCTGGTTCTGATCATTCCTGTGGTTCATGGTCCTCCTGTCCTCACAGAGGCACTGGATAAGGATTTGATATGGTAAAATCAATGTGAGCTTTTAATTTCCTGGAGATTGATGCTCTTCAAACACAACCAAGTATCTTTTCTGGACACTGCGATTAAAGAAAGCTCAAACCTGATGGTGAACCCCACATTTATTCTTCCAGTCTCCAGCTCTCACACAACCATGTTTCAGTGGTTCCCATTACTCTGCACCCCAGGCTAGCAAGAGGAGAAGGCTGATGTGCAGAGATCCAGGCTGATGTGCAGAGACCCCAAATTTGGTCACACCACAAGCGAACCCATGTGGCATTAGGTGGCACAGTGTGGGGGCAGCCAAGCTTCACCAGCCCCCCCCCCCCTTCAGGGAATGCTGGATCTGGTGGACAAGCCATCAGGAGAGGCAGAATCCAGCACCCGAGCCCATTCCCAGGGGAATCATGGGACCGCAGAGGTTGCATCACATCAGGTTCACATGCCAGCAGGAGGGAGTTCTGTTCTGACGTGAGTTCCAAGTTCAGCATTCACCTGGGTGCTGATCACAGCTTTGCTGCTGGGACTCTGCAGGAACCTTCTGGTTTGTCCCTGCAGCCTCCAAGCCCATTTTCAAGTGACAACGGTGTCTGGTCACTCACACAAAGCAGGTTTTAATCCCACACAACAGCTCCGGAACAAGTACATTGGATCTGTGTCACATTCAGTAAGAAAAAGCTGTGGGGGCTTTGGTAAAGCTCAGCTTAACTCCAAAGTGCAGACACACACGTGCTGTGGTCCCTTCTGCTCTTTAGGATCTCATACTGCTAATACTCAGTGTTTCCACACCTCTCTACCATGTACTATCATTGCTGGGGTTTGCCCTTTTGGGTTTAAGTACCTATGTGAGTTTTCCATGAATTTAGCTTTGGAATACAGAATATATTCATCTCTCTTAGCTCCTCAAAATAGCTCTTTGGAATGTCTACAAAAATATTTACTATCAAATAGAAAAAGATACGCTTGGCTTTCCAACAAGTGTAGTTTCTTTACCTGCTCATCCCAGAAAATACAGCTCAGATGCAAGATGCGGTTTTCCTCCCACCTGAAGCTTTCCAGCTGAGCAGCATAGGGTTTGTGAAGGCAAAGTGATGTCTCCAAGTCCATGCAGGCAGAACAGCTCAACACAGATCAAAACAGGATCAAACCACTGCCTGTGCCACCGCAGGCTCTTAGGAAAGGGGGTTGGAAATGATGTTAGTTTGGCAGCAGTACCATTTGTACTAGAATCCCATGCTCAACAAGAAGAACATGGACATTTTACTTCCAAGTACATGGTTTTACCTGGATAACACCCCACAATTAAGGCAGCCACAAGAGTTTTGATTCTTTCCTCTGACCTTAAGATGCTCTTTGCTGCTGCTGATGAGTATTTTCAATTCACTTTAATAGAGACCCTTGTAACAGGGTTAGCTGTCCTGGATCAGGGCCTCCCTTCCAGCAGCTGAAACACAGTGTTCCCACTGCTTTTTCATGGGGACCATTTGTGTATTCACAAGCTCTGTTTAACCCAGATGTCAGCTCAGCAATAAATACATCAGGATCTGGGAGGAAAAAAAGCCTAACAATTATGTTTGGTATTTGTACAGTGCATCCATTTCCCACCAGCTTAAGTGTATCGTAGCCTGGAGTCTGCACCGCATCCAGGTCAACTCACCCTGTTGCACTCAGTGTCACAAATCATTCCCAGGGAAATGACTCATTCCAGCTTTCCCCCCCAAAAAAACACCTCACATGTACATATTTCAACCTCCATGTTAGCTCACTCCTTCCTGTCTTGCCCTTGAGGTCCCAAAGCAAACCCTAAACCAAGAACAAGCTCTTTCAGGACAGTTTGCTGTGATGTTTGAGGAGAGAAGAAATGTGTGTGTGTGTGTGTGGATCTGTGCTGCCAACAGACACACTCTGCTATGGAAAACACAGTCCGTTGGGATCACATCCAGTCCTTTCACCTGAATGTCCATGGCACTGAGTCCCGTTCCAAGTGCAGCTCTTCACTGGAGGGCTCGCACATACACCTGACAGGCATTGACACAGAGATTATGGCACCAGAGGCTCGTCTGAACACAAACAAATCCCAAAAGCAAGGCCCCCCACTTGAAAAATAGGTGAAGAAATGGAACTTCTTCCTGCTAAAACCCTGGCACTCAAATCCAGAACCAGTTACCCAGCTTCAAATCAGGAGAACTCCTGCAACCAGTCAGCAAAGGGAAAACAGGAGAACATACCAACACCTAAAACACCATTAAGTGCATCAAGTTATGGTGTGGTGACTTCAGAGGTCTTCTCCGTGCTCTCCTGCACCTTGGCTGCAGTCATCTGGAACTGTGGCATGTATGGCATGATGACTTTGTACTGAAGGCTGCTTTGGATAAAGGCATTTAAATGAGGTGGTGTGTGCTGCAGAACCCCCCCATCCTGGAGCAGATCCATTGCATGCAACTGACACATCACTCCGGAGCTGTCCGTTAAGAAAACATCATTCTCCCTTTTTCCCAGTGACGTTATTCCCAGGTAACACAAGCTCTGCTCAGGGCTGTCTCCATCTGGGAAAGCATCATCATGATCTGAAGGCTCTGAAAATCCCTCTGAAGAGATGAGGGACAGGGAGAGAGTCTTGGGCTGCCTGATGGGAGCATCGGGGAGTACCAGAAATGCCCCGTTTCTCACCACCCAGGGGCTGCTTGAGAAGGAGCCTGTAGCTGAGGAGTCTTCAGCTAAGAGGCATCTATCAAAGCAACTTCTTGGCCTCACTTTGTGTTCATAAAGCCCACTTAATCTGGAGCTACTGAGGACAGTAGCGTATTTAATATCAGACTCCCCTGTCAGTTCTGCACTGCTTTGGCCATCGTGGGAGCTCTCAGAGAAGCTGCTACTATGGAAGTGGCTGCTGGAGCAAGCAGAGTCATGTGCAGAGTCTTGTGGTGTTGCAAACATGGAATCAATGACTAAAAAGTCTTGAGAATCTTCCTTCTTCAAGACTTCAGTGACACTGATGTCTTCCAGCACTATTGCTGGTTCCAGAAGAAGAGGCTCGAATGACATTGCTTCGGGGTGCTTGATGAAGAGATGCTCAAAAGTTTCAGGCTAGAAGAGAAGATTTTAAGCTCAGTCTTAGTTCAGGATTAAGCTACTGATGTTAAGAATCACAGACAACCCCCCCCATAGCTTTAGTATGAGTACATTGCTGAAAATCCTCTGTGTCTGTGTGTAAGTAAAGACCAAGGACAAAACAAAGACATGAGAAGCTGTTGGTGTGTCAAGTGCTGCAAAGCAAGTGTTCCGCTTACCCTGTATTACGTGTACCCTTAAACATCCCCGGTTTCCTATTTAGGTTGTATAACCCATAGACTTCATCATTTACATGTCAACTAAAGGAACTTTCCCTGCTAGGATTATATATTTGGGGTCAAATTCAGCCTTTCTATAGCATTTTTAGAGCATTCTCATCAGAACAGGAGTGGTAGGTTTGAACTGCACAAAGAGAAACACACCATTATTTTGGAGAAACATAGGCTTTACTACTACCTAGTATATATGCACATAAAATATACAACAGCATGAAGTGGGTCTCCTAGCTACAGAGGAGAATTCACTTGAAAACCCTGTATTTGCTAATGAATTCAAGGCAAACCAAATAGATAGAAACAGTTTCTGTGTGTATCAGCAAACCATGTTCTACAGCAGGAAAGCTGCCAAAACAACTAGAAACATGTCAAAATACGTTAACTAGTCTGCAATTATGGAAGAGTCTATACTACCTCTCCTAGCTTTAGTCTAGACTAGCTATTGGTAGCACCTATGCCCTCATTTGGCAAAGCTGGTAAGCTGGTATCTAACTGCTCTGGTCCTTGCTGCTCACAAGTCCAGCATCTTCCTACACTGAAACCAATCTGTGCACTGGAATCTCTCCTCCTCTTCAAAACGATGTCAGTAACTGCATATAACGTTATCAGGCTACTGAAATAAGGTGCAGGCTGCTACTATCTGTATACACCAGGCTGTAATGATCGTAACTGGTCTGGTCTGGTGAAAGTGATCTTCTCTCTCAGGGTTGCTTTGCATTGACACTAACACAACCACAGCCAAGCAGTGTATACTGACTGCCCCCAATGACATTTTCAAATGGGAGACACACATAAACAGGAATCACAGAATCCCAGACTGGCTTGGGCTGAAGGGAGCTTAAAGCTCCTCCAGTTCCAGCCCCTGCCACGGGCAGGGACACCTTCCACTAGAGCAGCTTGCTCCAAGCCCCTGTGTCCAACCTGGCCTTGAACACTGCCAGGGATGGGGCAGCCACAGCTTCTCTGGGCACCCTGTGCCAGATGGTTTATATTGCTTCCAAAACCTGTGTGCTCCCTCACACCAGCACTGGTATCTGCTCTTACAAATGCACAGAAAACACAAAGATAGATAATATTGCCTGCAGGGATTAAATACATTCCATTCAGAGGCAGATGTGCTGCTTGGCAAAGGCCACCATCTCTTCTTAAAACATGTCACATCCCTTATTAAAACATGTCAGGTATTTAATCCAGTATAACACATATTCATTCCAATGTCCTGAGAAGATGTAGAACTCTCTCATCTCACAATTACTTAGTGAACTGGGAGAACAGTGCTGGATTTCCACAGCAGAAGCACGTGCAATATAATCTGGACACCGACTGTGTTAAACAACAGGCAAAATAGCTCCATACTTTGGAAAAGTCAGTCTTGGGTCACCAGCTCCCAAACTTTGCCCAGCAGATGAAACGAGATCCAACCAAACCAGGAATGTCAAAGAAGGCTGTATTTTGCTCTCCTGCTCACTCTAGGGTTTAAGCTGTATTTGTCTCAGAAGCCCCAGGCTACCTCTGAGCTGGAAGCCTGACCTGGGTTCAGGTCAGAATTACTTTGCACTCCAGCTGCTAAACACAGATAAATCAAAATATGCTACTGGCCTAATTCTGCCATGGCCAGATCTGGACTTTCCCATACATTTAACTCCACACATTGCAGATTAGCTGATGGACACAGCAGGATAATTTAGATACACATAAGTCTTTGCAAGTTTAGTATTAATTTCCCTGTGAAATAATACCTGTAGTTGTGTTTAAATCATTTCTCCACCATTACAGGAGACTAAAACATTACTATTTTATTGAGCAGAGAAGAGGAATTTTCATGATTTTTGACATTATGCATACATGTAAAGGCTTGCATGACAGAGTCTAGATGCAAGACCTGCCTGGTTTAGGTAAGGATTCATAGATTCGTGGAATGGTTTGGGTTGGAAGGGACCTTAAACACCATCTTGCTGCTGTGAGCAATACAATCAGGATAAAATAGTCTATAAATGCAGTTCTGGAGTACCAAATGTGAGATACTGAATATACAAAGTAATGATCAGATGATTTAATATGGCTGTGTATCAGGACAAGACAGGAGTTTCACATCAAATGCCTTCAGAATGACATCAGAAGTTCCCAGCATTGGTATAGAGGCTATTTATGTAATCAGTGCTTATCACAACTAAAGAAAAATATCACATGTGAGCTGTACACTGCTTTTTGTCCAGGAAATTCCATCCACACATACAAAAAGGCAGGATTTGGCTCCAAAAACATGGTTTCAAAGAACATGTGCCAGCCTTGGAGATGCCAACCTGAGGACAGGCCCTGTGCTTTGAGTGCAGTTAACATTTCCCAGTGGAGTTAGTACAAGGCATGGAAGAGGCATGCATCCTACTGCACAAGCTGTTTAAAAGCATGTCAACCTTCACTACCTTTCATCTTCCATCATTTTTTCCCCATTAATTATGGGGCCAGGCATATGGATACAGAGCGGGATCCCCAGGGTGTCAGCTTCACCCTCCCTTTCCAGTTAGAACGTCATCAACTTTAATACCCTTACTTCAGCTCAACCAGTCAGTGAGGAGAATCATTTCCAAGGTGCTAAATCCAACATGCAAACTTCATGCCCCTCTGCAGGTGGGGACAATGAGGATCGTCATGAACTCCTTTTGCTATAGATGAAGATCAGACAAATACAGTTGTGCTGGTGCTACTCATACCTCTGCAATTAAGATCTATTCATAGACCCCTTCCACCTCCACCAAAATCACATCTTCCTTGAGGATTTCTGACCTCTTTTCCAAGTACAGACAGAATGTTAGAGATTACTCATGCACCTGCACTGGGGTGGCTTCATGTTTAAATGACAGCAAATGAACAAGCTGTATAAATAACATGCACATTGGTATTTCCAGGAAAATGCAAGCAAATAAAAAGCTCAGTAAGGCACAAAACACACCCAGTTTCCGCATTCTCTGAGTTGCTGCTGCACCCAAATGCATACAAAAAGCTCAAAAGACCATAATGGGACAATGAAGTACTTGTGTGAATAGAGATTTGATCACTTTGATGTGCCTGGAGTCAGTGGAAACTCCCAAGCTGGCTCTCGATTAGAACAAACACTCAATTAGAACAAGAAACTACTTTTGAGTGGAGTTGGGAGCTGTAACTGGGCAGATCTTGCACTCAAGCTGGATGAATTCCAAACCAATCTGATGTCTCTGCTTCCTGGGCTGCATCCTAGGAAGGGCTGGGCTCTCCCAACTCCTTCTGAGAACCAGGGCTTGAGAGGATTCAGCCCTTTGCCAGTCTGCAGAGCAGCAAAGAAAAGTTAAAACCACCAAATCCAAAGTCAGTGCTCCTGCCTGTGCAAGTGACAAACTGGGGCTTGGTTTTGCTCCTGATTATTTCAAGGGCATTTTAGATTTTTGACCAAGTTACTTCCAGGACTCATTGTATTTAAACAACTCAGTGTTGCATCTGTGCTTCCTGTCTGCTGAACAGAAATATAACAGTCTTCTAACAGTTTTGTATAGAAAGCCTGGAAGCTGGCCCAGTGGTTCAGCAGGCACTGATCATGATCAGACTTAAAGAATGCCCATTCTCTGTTTAAGTGAAATGAAAGGCTGAGAGAGCTGGGCTGGGTCAGCCTGGAGAAGGGAAGGCTCCTGAAGGGGAGACCTTCAAGCAGCTCCAGGGCTTAAAGGGGCTGCAGGAAACCTGGAGAGGGGCTTGGGACAAGGGCCTGTAGGGACAGGCCAAGGGGAATGGCTTTAAGCTGCCAGAGGTTGAGGAGACTGAGATGAGCCCTTAGGCAGAAGCTCTTCCCTGTGAGGGTGCTGAGGCGCTGGCACAGGGTGCCCAGAGAAGCTGTGGCTGCCCCATCCCTGGCAGTGTTCAAGGCCAGGTTGGACACAGGGGCTTGGAGCAAGCTGCTCTAGTGGAAGGGGTCCCTGCCCGTGGCAGGGGTTGGAGCTGGGTGAGCTTTAAAGTCCCTTCCAACCCAAATCGTGCTATGAAATAAAAGATGAGAAAAAGAAACCTTCATTGGGGAATGCAAATTAAATACCTGAAAAATCTTCTGCCATTAGATGCTCTTTTAGAAATAACAGGTCTGAATTTGGATTATTATCTCAGTGATTGCCCAATGTTGGATGCTGGGTCCATGAGAAGCTTAGTCTACTGCTAAGCCTACATGAAGACTCTACAACCCACCACAGCACCCAAATCACAGGCTGTTTATCCCAGCAAAGAGTCTGGCCTTTGATACACTTGCGGCACTTGCTAAGGTGCACAAGCACTACATCCATGGGATTCTGCAACTGATTTACTGATTGCCCTGAAATTTAAACACCAGCTACACTCAGAAGAGATGTCAGTCTTTGGTCCTGGCCTGGTCCTACATGTCAGCTCTCTACACCAAGAGAAGTGCTGCACTGGTAACTTCAGAGGCTCAAGTGGCTTCATTCAGTAGCTCAGGCAGGGTCTGGTCTACCCAAGAGCTGTCAGAGCAGTGGGGTGGGGGAAGAGACATCACTAAGGGAATACACACCTTCTGAAAATTAACTCCTTGTGCCCAGGAGCAGTTCTTGGGGTTTGGAACATCTTCCCAAAACAGCTTCTTCATTCTGAAACATGAGGTAAATCCTGGAGTTGGTACTGGTCTCATACTCTCTGTACTGCTCTCATTCCCCTCTGCTGTGTCAGAAAAGGAATCCATGCAGTTTTATTTATCCAGAGCACTGTGGCAATGACATTTTCACAAGGTAACAGGACCGCACTCAATTCTGGGTGCTGTATTCCACAGTCCCCTGCCTTTCGGTACAGTACATCAAAAATATGCATAAATAATCCCTGGCTTTCCCCAGAAATATCCTGCCCACCAGTTCAGCACTGAGGCATCCCCTAAGCTGCATCACCTTCTTCTGAGATGACAATGAACAACCCACCTTTGGTGTGAAACCAGCAGTGCTCCAAGCAACAAACCTGAGGTTGAAATGACTATTGGCAGAACCACATAGAGGTTGGCATTGTTCTCATTTTCATATCCAGCTGGAAATTAAAGGGATTTAGTTAATAATGCAGTCAAATAGTTTGTGTACAAGTAGTTTGCATCTAAATCACTGTCCATAGTTACATTACAATTATAATTACACACAGCTATATTACAATTATAATTACAAATATAATTAAACTGACTATATATATATATACAAATATAAATAAATCTGACATGTTTTTCTGGTAAGATACAGACTTCTCCTGCATTTAAATGTTACTTTTACAAGCTCCTATTTCATAAACAACAGGGAGAAAGATCCTGTCAGTCACCTTTGGTAAACTGATCTGTTGCTCTGGGTTTGCCAACTCCTCCAGCAAACACAGGATACAGGCTGAACTGGTACTTCTCGATCAGGATAAAGTGGTCTGGAAAGAGGAAATCAACCTTCTGAATCACAACTATTATCCTACTTTTAAACAATCACCTCCACAGGTGCTCTGGTCACATATCAGAGCTCAGATCAGCACAGAGAGGGGAATAATGAAAGCTGTCTTTTATAGATACATATTTTAATATCAGAAGATTAAACCCATTAATCTATACAGGACAATCTGGCATTATTCTGTCATGGAATTAACACCTGTACGGAGCTATTGTAATAAATTTTAAGATTAAAGCCAAAATGCAAATGGAATGAACACATTAACTTAGATATTAGCTGCTGTATTCAATATTCCAGAGCTGACTTTTTTTGTATTGCCAAAAAATGAGCATGCTCCTGAGTTTCAGTCTTTGTTAATCTGATAACAAATGCAGCAGTCAATCCTTTACAGTCGGTGCTCTAATGATGATTAGGAATCGCTCCACTGGTCCTTATCATAAATCAGGAACAGAGAGGGGGAAAAGGAATCACAGAGCTCAGTAATGTCCCATCTTGCTGCTCCATATTAACACAATATATTCTACTTTCCAGCACACACTCACCATAAATGTAATATTTACTGATATTTGGAGGAACTCGCACCCATTTCATCTCCTCTTCTTTGTTAAGGTTCTTCCACTCAATAATAAAAGACGTTACCACGTATATTTGAGGGGAGAGTGTCCAGATCAGAATCACACAAGTGCTGTTCACTGGGTAAGCGCTGAGGGACCGCACAACACTCACTGACAGGGCAAAGAGAAACCAGCCATGAGTAATGTGAGCAGAAGCGAGATGACGATGGGTTAAGCAGGAGAGGTGTTTACTGCGAACTACATGCATATGGGTGACTGCTATGGTTTGAGCACATGAACATAGTATCATAGAATCCCAGACTGGATTGGGCTGAAGAGACCTTAGAGCTCACCCAGCTCCAACCCCCTGCCATGGGCAGGGACACCTTCCACTAGAGCAGCTTGCTCCAAGCCCCTGTGTCCAACCTGGCCTTGAACACTGCCAGGGATGGGGCAGCCACAGCTTCTCTGGGCACCCTGTTCATTTATCATTTACTTGCTTAATTGTCTTCTATAAAATAAAGCCAGGTCTCTAGTTCACATAAGCAAGCATATTTCTCTTTGAGCCAGCACAGCTTGGTTCACACCAACTAGTCCTGAACATTAAACAGATCAAGTTTCTTACCAGACATCAAACAAACATCCTGATTCTCACGTGCACTTCCGTAACTATAAGTCCTTCACAAAAAAACCTATCAACATGTACTGAACTGTCAACATTTAAACAGTAAAGAACACACTGGGAGCCCTGTAACGTAAATCCTACTGAGGCTAAGCAATACACCAAGGTAACAATCCAGTTGGACAAAGGCTTCCCATGACATCTGCTACCAGCCACAGGGTTTCCAGAGCACATTTACACACAATATCAGAAATTTATCCACAATAATGCTTTTAAAATAGCATTACAGCAGAAAAGTTTTCCAAATAGGCTGCAGTGATGTTTCCCACAGCATATATTTGCACGTGAATGTTACACAATGGAAGTATTTCAATGCAACAGGCTTTATTTCATTAGTAAAGCAGAGTGAATCAATAAAGCAGCTGAATCAATGAGAAAGCCAAACCTCTCAAACAATGTACTCTGGCAGCCCCTCAGGTGATCAGCCGGAGAAACAAGACCATATATCATTTTGGAAACAACCAAACATTCCCTAGCAGGAATGTTGGGTGTTCCTAAGACAAAGTAGATGAAAGATGAGTTCTACAGTAAGAATTTCTTATTCTTTGATTAATTACTTTAGATTCTGCTAGTGGAAAGTAACAGACAACTCTTTTCCCAACCCAAAGGTCATTAAGGTTTTCATGCAATGGAAATCTCATTTTTCAACTAGCTCTGTTGGTGAGATGCAGAAGCTGTTTCCCATATACAGCTGAATGTACCATCACAGAACATTTTTTATCCTAAGAAAGGGAATTTGATTATAAAGAAAGCTTTGTCCAAAAGCATCACAACAATTCCCAGCATTTTCCACATCTCAAAATGGTCACTAACAGGTGTTTCTTACCTGTGCTCATTTGCTGGGATAGAGTTAAATTAAAATTAACTGAAGAAACTCCAACTGAATTCATGGCCAGAACAGTAATGGTGTGCGTGTGCTCAGTCCATGGAAATGAACAGGTAGTGCCATTGTCAACATACTCTGACCATGTGGTGTTTCCTGATGTCTGATGCTGTATAACGTAGCGGCTCACACTGCACAAGGAGTGACTCTTCATCAGTGGCTGCAGCAAATATTGGCATGAATTAATCTCCCAGCCTTTGATTTCAAAAGCAAATGTTATTTGGGCAGAAGGCACCATTCCAATGTTAAGAAAACATGATCCAGTAAAGATATTCTATAGGCTGTCTACTGCCCTTTTAGCAAAGGCTCTGTAGTCTATCTAAAGACTTAATTCCTTCTATCTCCCTCCCTAAGAGCTGACACAATTCCTTGCTGTTCCAGGGGGAAAAAGAGGGCACAAGGAAATACAAACTTTCAGGCTCCTCTAGTAACTCACTGTTTCATGTTGTCTTTTTCAGGACTGAGAAAACAGAACAGATGACTGTTTGCACACGACACATGGGCAAACAGGAGTGAGTAGTCACGGATATGCTTTTTTCTCTGTCCTGTGTTAACCTGTTCACTGTGCCCAGTTTATGTGTAGTTGCAGTGGTGTTTGTACAGGCAGCTTCCTAGGAGCCAGTGGCACATTCTGCTCAGGCATCTCAGTCAGCAGAACTTGGCAGCTAAAGACTGCACCTCATTCTAAACTGCAGTCTGTGATTCCACATTACTCTTTCTTCTGAGTGTTAAGAGCCAATTGCATTTTAAGTCTCCATTTCATAGCATTTGTGTAACTAACACTGAAAGTACAGGTCTCCACACAAAGGCAAGGAAACCTGTAGCTTGCCTGGAGAGCTGAGGGCTTTCCTGTAGTGAGGACTGTAAGACAGAAACAACGGGATGCTCCCCATGGCTGTGATGCAGCCCCCACGTGCAGTTCAACATGGCTGTGGTGCAGGTAACTGGACCTCGGATGGGTCCACTCTACAAACATCAGTTCAGGAGGCTGGCCTGTGAGCTTCCCAAGTGTGGAACAGGCCTGCAGCCAGTGTATGTCTCATCCAACTTACAACCAACCACACAGCACTAGGAAAGTTCTTGTCCTACTGCATTACTATGAACTTGGTAATGATTAGGGTACAAGATTAGCTCAACATGTGCCAGCAAGGGGCAGGGGAGAATAAACAGAATAAAACCAGAAGGGAGTAAAGTCCAAGACACGCTGCTTGAGCAAAGAAGACAAACCCGCCTCTCACTGTATCACAGCCTTACAGTCAATATTCACCAGCAACCTCCACTTGCCTCCAGTATTAGCCAAGCAAGAGGTAATAGCTCAAAAGAGGTCACATCCCAAGTGAAACCCCATAAGCAGTGACTGCCCAGCTTTGCCTCCCAGGGAAACGTGCTCATCATACTAACTTTCTGGCAATTCTACCCATGGGTTTTGGATCAAAGTGAATGACCAAAAGGGAATTGTTCTCACCTTCCATAGGAGTGTAACATTCTTCTGCCTCCTTGCTGGATCTTCAGTAATAATCCTCCAAAATTCAGGGCCCTGTAAGGGAGCTGCAGTTTTGAAAGAACAGTGTCACTCTTCAGTCTGAAGCTGCACAGCCCCAAAGAATGCACTCTGAAAGCACAAGTACCTTTGATATCTTTTACAAGGGTATAGGCTGATCTGCTCCAGTTGCTCCAGTAGCCTGATCCATCCAGCTCCCTGCACCGGACCTGAACGACATACTCAACACAAAGGTTTTGAACTTCTATCACAGCTGATCTTGTGGGTGCATTTGAAACTTCATAAAGCTGTAACAGAAGTCAAAACAGGCTGAGTAAGAACAAAAGGCTGTTTTAGCATCTGCCAGAGTCAGAATTCCTGAAAATGAATCCAATGAGAAAGTGAATTAATCTGTAACATAACCATTATAACCATGATTCACTGCATGCCACAAATTCCACCTAAACCCAGTTAACACACTCGGTGACAACACTGCATCAACCCATGATCTAGATTAAAAGAGACAGTACCTCCCACATCATTTCCTCCCTGTTCACAGCATACCGAATCTGAAATTTCAGATCACTGTTTGCAAACAGAGGGTTTGTCCAGCTCACATTCAGCAGCCCAACATTCCTGGTGAGTTCTGCTTTAACACTGGAGGGAGGAAGCAGCTTCACTAGAAAATGGAAAGAAAAAGAAAGGCTATGAGGTCTGCAAGGACATCCCTCATTAAATCCACTCATCATGGGCTATTTTCTTCTGCCCTGAGGCTGGCAGGTATCACATTGTGGCTTCTGCCATCCCAAGTAAAGCTGGACTAGAATGCAAATGTAAGCATTCACCAACCCAGCCTGGCTGGGCCATTCTCTGCAGACAGAGCATTGCTGACTGAGAAAGACAATGCCTGTCTAATGGGAAATTCATTCTGATTTTGACCCAAAGTCAAATCACCAAAGAAAAGGTGAAGTTGAAATCTCAAAATCAAAGTTTCTGACAGAATAAGCGTTTCATTTAATAACAAAATAATCATCCATGGGCAAGTTTCAATACATTTCATTTTAATCCAAACCCCAATGGCTTATATTGATGCCAGCACCTTGTACCTCCCCTGGTACAAACAGCAAATGATTTTATACATATAAAAATATATATAAAACTTGTTTTGGCTCATCAGAGGGTGAGGGAGGAGAAAATAATAAGTAAGATAAGCTTTCAATTCTGGGTAGTGCTAGAATGAATCTGGTTTGGTTTACCATGACATAGAGCACCTTTCATCCAGTGTAGGTCAATTCTATTGCTTTCGAGTGATGACTTGAATAAATCAGGCTCCTGGAGTTCTGCTACAACTCCTCACTGTGCAGCGCTGTCCAAAGCCAGCACCTCCATCCAAAAGGGCACAGGCAACTGAGAGCACAGCCTGCCCACCCCAGACTAATACTACAGCTGCTCTCCACATACATAATAGATGTGGTTTATTATTCTGCTTTATTTCATGTAGCACTTCTGTGCTCCAGCTGCCATGTTTTCTCTATACATATTGTCCAATTTTATGTCCAAAAAATAGAGTCCAATGAATGCTCTGAGTCACAGAGCAGATAATAAGTGTTTTCACATTTTGCAGTGTTTCAAAACACTCAAACACTGTCCCTGCCTCCTGCTTTTACACAAATTTAAGTGCTCTGTGTCACAAAAGAAGCTTTGCAAATACATGCAAGAGCATGAGCAGTCCCTATGACTGTAAGCGAACAGGTAACTGTGTAACACATATAGTGCTGCATCAAAGTATAAACTTAACTACTTAAAGACTCCCGAAACATAACATAACCAAGAACCTTCAAAATGAGACTTTGTTCCTAAATCTAATTCTTGCATTTTCTAGAGATCTCTTTACAAAACTCTTTATAGGATAAACCCACAAAACTGGATGTTTCATGTTATAGGTATTAGCTGCAGCTACAATCTGCTCCTGTGCCAAGCAAAGGTATGGAAATATCATTTAATCCAATGTCTTTTAGAAGACATTATCAAAGCTTTTATGTTCTTATGTTCTTTCCACAATCTAATTGAGTTAAAATGCTATGAAGAAGTACTTTACCTACACCATATAGGGAATGAAATCCAAGGTCACAAGTGAAGAAAGACGTGCACAAATCTGGACCTACCCACATCAGCTGGAATGACACAAGTTGGTGAGGATTCAAGTGTTCCTAGTAAGTGCTTAAATTCTATCCACATGGTATATCCAGATAAAAGAAAAATAGGCTGAAATGTGCACTCGTAAGAATGGTTCTTCCGCAAATGACATTCTTTCACCTCTGATTTTGGAGATGTACTTGGAAAGTCGGAACAATAAATTCTGCTCCTTAAAAGAGAGAAAAACCACATTCAGTCAACACACTGCAACTATAAGCTGCCCGTGGCATCAGTAAAATAGAACTCTGAAGGCAATTAAAATAAATGGTGTCACTGGAACCTTCTGGGATTTTCTGATGATTATTTGGAAAGATCTTGAGCTTGAAATCTGCACAAAATGGATAAACAACATTGCAGTGTTACTCCTCAAAGCTTTGGCTCTTAGCTGGAATAAAGCAAAACATGAAGGCTCTCCCTGTGGAAATCTCTGATAAGAAACTAACTACAGGGAGAAAGAGGTACAAGAAGAGCAGGCACCTGCAAATACTCATAAATTATAGAATCCCAGCCTGGTTTGTGTTGGAAGGGACCTTAAAGCTCCTCCAGCTCCAACCCCTGCCACGGGCAGGGACCCCTTCCACTAGAGCAGCTTGCTCCAAGCCCCTGTGTCCAACCTGGCCTTGAACACTGCCAGGGATGGGGCAGCCACAGCTTCTCTGGGCACCCTGTGCCAGCGCCTCAGCACCGCCTCAGCACCCTCACAGGGAAGAGCTTCTGCCTAAGAGCCCGCCTCAACCTCCCCTCAATCTAAATTACGTTCCTTGAATGGTGTTTATTAGCAATACACATAGCACGGCAGATGTCCAGCCAAGAATTTGCTCCAGCTGAGAATATGGCTTTCAAAACACCAAAGGGCATCCAGGGGAAAGCTGCCACATGGATCAGTCAGGCAGTGAAGTCTCCAGGAGATGGAAACCCCATAAAAAAATATCAGTTCTGGAGGGTGCTATTGAAATCCCACATGCAGACAGTATCTCATCTGGCAACAGAAGAGAGGAGAGCTGGACTCTGAGTAAAATAGCACCGGACACCTTATCAGTGATGGAAAGTGTTCCAATTCCTCCTAATTTTTCCTAAGCTTCATGGCCAGCTTAGACTTGTGGTGAGTGGCCAGATAAGGATTAGTTCTCCAACTGAACCACAGAAGTTACACTGAGCTGAATCTCTTCCTGTCCACATAGCTAACAGTGATTAAACTGGTGCCTTGTGCTTTGAAGATTCAGCTCAGCATTCCCTGGATTTACAGGATGATCATCTCTGCACTGTTTCTGTTGGCAGCATTGGCTGTAGAGGAAGATGTAGTTACAACCCAACCAAAACAAGACACCAAGAGCAAAGCTATCACACCAATGTACTGCAGAACATTGGCTTTCGTCTGCAGGACATAATTGCATCAGTCAGTAAGAAGAATAGCTGTGGGCTCCTGGAAAACCAGATGTGCCTGATGCTGATGTGACACATCTGACTTTCAACTTCTACCATGAGGACTTGCTACGTCTAAGCAAACACCAGCAATTCCTGCATATTTGTGGTGTCTCTTACAAATAAGTTAGGTAATTAAAACCCCTATTTCATTTGGTTTCAAAATTCATATTCTTTTTCTGTATTTTTGCTCCCAATATGTAACAGAATATTATACAAATAACAGTGGTGATTCTGCCCCTCTGTTGTGCTCTGGGGAGACCTCCCCCTGCAGCCCTGATCCAGCTCTGGGGCAACAGCACAAGAGGGACGTGGAGCTGTTGGAGCAAGGCCAGAGGAGGCCATGGAGATGCTGCGAGGGCTGGAGCAGCTCTGCTCTGGAGCCAGGCTGAGAGAGCTGGGCTGGGGCAGCCTGGAGAAGAGAAGGCTCCTGAAGGGGAGACCTGAGAGCAGCTCCAGTGCCTGAAGGGGCTGCAGGAAAGCTGGAGAGGGGCTTGGGACAAGGGATGTAGGGACAGGCCAAGGGGAATGGCTTTAACCTGCCAGAACACGGGAGACTGAGATGAGCTCTTAGGCAGAAGCTCTTCCCTGTGAGGGTGCTGAGGCGCTGGCACAGGGTGCCCAGAGAAGCTGTGGCTGCCCCATCCCTGGCAGTGTTCAAGGCCAGGTTGGACACAGGGGCTTGGAGCAAGCTGCTCTAGTGGAAGGTGTCCCTGCCCGTGGCAGGGGTTGGAACTGGATGAGCTTTAAGATCCCTTGCAGCCAAAATCATTCCACAATTCTATGATACTGGTATTCTCATAAGTGTACATTTTCAAACGTCTTATAGTTCAACTGTATGGAAATCACTACATGAATGGGGTCCCCCATTATTTATTTGTTTTTATTTTTCCTCTGTCAGATCCTACCATTAACAAACAAACAAAAGCCCAAAGAAAGATCACAACAAATACCAGCTTCTGGGCAGCATTTTCACTCTGTATTAATGTTCACTGTTTGATCTACCAAACTGTAACAAATGCACGAGGTATCACCTCCTACTAGAAAAGAACATCTTTAAATAAACCTGAACAAGTAAAAAGTGGGAATAAAAACCTTGGCAAGAGCAGCACAGGCTTTATTTCAAGCTCCCTGCCCAGCTGCATACTCATTACATTCATATTTTTGAAGACACTTTAAACAAAACCTACCTTAGCAGCCAGTTAGTCACTAATCCTGCCCTAAAAACCTCGACATGCAATCTCAGGCATCCCAGTTCTTACTTTCATCCAGAAAATGCTGAGAAATATTCACCTTGGTACTACAATAGTATGCGTCCAACAGAGAAGACAGTTCAGCTTCCCAAAGGATTGGACCCTCAGGGCTGCTTTAAGCTCGTGTGCCAAAACTTTGCATATCAGGTCTAGCAGAACAGTAAAACTAAAGACATTTTCTCAGGAAGGGATGTCTGTCTTGTTTCTATAAAGACTAACACAGTTCTAGAAAACTCCAACGGATTAGTCCAATGTATTAGTGTATCAGAGGGATTTTTTAGTTTCATGGTAAAACAACACTATCAGAGGCAGTATTTGTGCACATGAATGAAGATAAGGATGATCACAGCACTGGTTTAATAATCAGGTTTGTATTTTGCAAGCAGGAATGTTTGTTCCACATCCCAGTTCTCATACTCTTCCCCAGACAAAATTAAACCACCTACATGAAAATACCTGAAAAAAACACCTGAAAACACCTGAAAAAACACATGAAAACTAAGAATTGCTCTGGCCACCAAAAATACTACCCACCTTCATAAAGCAGTATTCCCTTTATGAACTAAGATTTGATTCTCTCTATATAAGTAAGACTTTTTCCATTCTGAATGGAAGAAGCCTTTTCACAGAATGCATGTTACACACTCAGGTATCTATGGTCCCTCTTCTAAACACGTATCATAGAATCCTATAATAGTTTGGGTTGGAAGGGAATGAAAAGCTCTTTCAGTCCCAACCCCTGCCATGGGCAGGGACACCTTCCACTAGAGCAGCTTGCTCCAAGCCCCTCTGTCCAACCTGGCCTTGAGCACTGCCAGGGATGGGGCAGCCACAGCTTCTCTGGGCACCCTGTGCCAGCGCCTCAGCACCCTCACAGGGAAGAGCTTCTGCCCAAGAGCTCATCTCAGTCTCCCCTCTGGCAGGTTAAAGCCATTCCCCTTGGCCTGTCCCTACAGGCCCTTGTCCCAAGCCCCTCTCCAGCTTTCCTGCAGCCCCTTCAGGCACTGGAGCTGCTCTCAGGTCTCCCCTTCAGGAGCCTTCTCTTCTCCAGGCTGCCCCAGCCCAGCTCTCTCAGCCTGGCTCCAGAGCAGAGCTGCTCCAGCCCTCGCAGCATCTCCATGGCCTCCTCTGGCCTCGCTCCAACAGCTCCACGTCCCTCTTGTGCTGCTGCCCCAGAGCTGGATCAGGGCTGCGGGGGGGGGTGTCTCCCCAGCAGAGGGGCAGGATCCCCTCAGTGACCTGTTGCTCACACTCTGGGGGTGCAGCCCAGCATATGGTTGGCAATACAAATAGTTAATACCTGTGGAGTTCCAGGAGGGAAAAATTCCAACTTACAGGAATTAAGGATGTTTTATAATTACAACTATTCAGAATTCTTTGCTGTGATAGTTATTCCCAGAGCAACACTTCCCAAACATAACGAGTGCATTAACAGCTATATACACACCTGTGGTATCTTAACTGCAAGGAACTCCCCAGGAGCACAGTGTTTGGGTTTGCAGACCATCTGCAAGTCATTTTAGTTAAGTACCCATCCGTTTCACAGGTGATATTAATATTCATATCTAATTAAAACACATGGAAAGTTCAGATTAATGAAGATATAAGTGTTTGTATAAAAACATTTATTGCAACTGCTCAATAAAATCTAACTGGAGCTTACAATGGAGGTATTTTGATCTTATGATTCAAAGGCAGTGAAATGATAATTTAAAATCGTCTGGAATCTTACCTACTACATATAATTCAGCGTATCTATGATGACATTCCCTATTTTGATGACAACAGTACAATGCGTTATAGAAGAAACTTCCTCTAGGTTTTGTTGCTTTCAAGTTGAAAAGAGTAACTTTGCTTACACGGTCATTCACAAGCGTATACTGACTTTGTGGGATTTCTTGTACTAAGTTCAGCCACCAGACAATCTTCTTGGATGCTACAAGCTTGGTTGTATTTTTGTAGATGCAATGAAAGGAAACATTAGAACCAACACCGGTCAGTAGCTTAGGAGGGAAGTACAGGACTTGAGCTACACAGAAGGGGAAAAAAGGGGAAAAAATATCAATTGAGATTAGAATCCGTGCAAAAATATCCATAAAGGAAAACACAATACAAAAATATTAACATTATCCAGGTGTATTTCTACCTTTCCTACTTCTTAATTACTAGGACAGGGGCAGGAATGAGCCTTTGACTGTCTCACTCCATAACTGATATTGGTAAATTCTGCTAAATATCTTTAATATCCCCAGGCAAACCTGAATTAAATGAGCAGAAATCACTGGAGGCTCCAGTGGAAGCAATACACAGCAGCACAAGGGAAACAGGGAATCACAGGGGCTGCTGTAAATTAAATCTCAGGAAACCAGACTAACACTGCTGCTTTCCACTCAGCCAACCTAAGGCACCAGGTCATCTTATTTAAATGCTGCAAGTAGTACTTGCAAGCTAGAAAGGGTCTGCTTCTGTAACTCATCTCAAAAAGACATACAACACATAAAATCGTAAAATTGAGAGAGGATCCAAATAAGAGAAGAGCAATGTTTGGGTTTGGAGGGGTGGGGAATAATCATCTGACTCTTTGAACCCTGCAGGGTGTTGAAATCATGTTAGCTGAAGCATTAACTGAAGCTGAAGCATGGGCTTGTGCAGCTTGCAGAAGGTTTGGAGAGACCTAAGAGCAGCTCCCAGTGTTAAAAGGGGCTACAAGAAACCTGGGGCTTTGGATAAGGGTCTGTAGGGACAGGCCAAGGGGAATGGCTTTAACCTGCCAGAGGGGAGACTGAGATGAGCTCTGAGGCAGAAGCTCTTCCCTGGGAGGGTGCTGAGGTGCTGGCACAGGGTGCCCAGAGAAGCTGTGGCTGCCCCATCCCTGGCAGTGTTCAAGGCCAGGCTGGACACAGGGGCTTGGAGCAAGCTGCTCTAGGGGAAGGTGTCCCTGCCCGTGGGGAGACAGAAGCAGAAAGGGAAGAACTTCCATGGGATTTTTCAGCTCAGTTCATGCCTGCTGTACCTTCCTGGTATAACACATGCTCTCAAATACTCATTCCACAAACCAAACCAAACTGGGAGGCGTATTCTGTTCCAAAACACTGCACATAAGTGACCACATGAGGCCTACCTCCTAAGCTGAGGTTGTATGGTGTGCTCCAGTCACTCCAGAACCCTGGACCATGATGATTCCTGCACCGCACTTGAACTAAGTATGAAGACCCAAGCAGTGTATTGTCTATGGCTAGTGAGGTTTCCAGAGCAACTTGAACCATCTGTGGGATTATCAGAAGCCATTATGGTTGTATAATGAAACAGGATGAAGAAAGACAGAGAGAACCAAAACAAAGAGTCTAGAGAGTAGGTTTTAGGTGTCAAGTTCAGTAAAAAAAGGTTCCTTCTTTAAATCTATGTAAATCCAAATATGGTAGAGATTGCATGACTCTGTGGAAAACGTGTTATTTCATTATGAAGTCCTAAATAACAGCTCCTTTTTATTGCAGAGACAGTTGTGTGGTAGCAACAGGAAAAAGCAATTCACTAATAAAAGCTATAAATATTAAACATATTATGGAATTTGGGGGCTGCTGAAAAGAGAGACCTTTGCCTTTAGACTTCACAGAGTCTAGTATTTCATCCAAAAAGAAAGATGGGAGCTTGTGTGTAAGACCCAAAAGGAGACGGGTTTTGTATCAGTGTAGTGTCTCTGCTGGTGTAACAGATGTCAAGTCCAGCTCACCAGCACACTGCTGATGTTTACCAGGGTCTGCTGGACACACCAGCTCAGTGTGCCCTGCCCAGCTCCACCAGACCCACCACTGCCTAAGGAGAGTTCTCAACCCACCGGATCCACTGCCCAAGGACAAGGAACGTGCTAAGAAATCCTGGGCTCCACAGAAACCCACCAACCTGCACTGTAAAATACAGGAGCAGAGCTGACTCACCTGCCAGCTGTTTTGACCTGAGTTTGCAGAGATCTTCACTTCATACTGAAGTGGGTATGGCATCAACAAAGGGTCGGACCAGCAGATCTTCATTTGACCTTCCTCTGTCATTTCTAGATGCAGGTTCAAAGGAGGTTCAGGCTTGACTGCAGACAAATTAATTGACAAGTTTACCACTAACCTGATTGCATGTGACTGCTGACGGCAATGGGTCTTTTCCATGCCACTTCTTTGAACTCAGTTTCCAAGAGCTTCTCTGCAGCTGGTGTATGACACACTAATGTGTAGTATCACTGGAAAAGCGCACCCTGGCACTGTTACAGTTAGCAGGACATGCTGTTTGACCCGATGTTTGCCTTAAAACTACATTCATTTCTTGCCTTGGGACATGATTCTCTCCAGTAACCAAACATTAATGTACCTGTTTTGCTGCAAAGAGGACTGAGAAGGATGGGAGTGCTGAGCAAAGCAATTTGCTCAGCTCCTGAAGAGACAGGAGATAATGTCCTCATATTGTACACAAAGAATTGCTAGATATTCCCATGCCTTCCACAGTGATTATGGCTATGAAAGAAGGTCTCCAGGAGAGCTACATTAGGGCAAAGTAAAAAGGAGGGTTTCAGAAATTTCCCAGGAGGATGAACAGAACACTCTGGACAGGGAAATGGATGGGCAATTTAGAGTGATCATCAGGATTACATTCACTCCTCATCAGACAAAGGCAGGGAGCCTTGATCCTGCTTTTACCTGTTGCTGAGACCTTTTCAAATCACTGTTTAAGTACAGTGTCCTTTGGCTCACCTTGTCCTCATTCACAGCTCCACGTTTGATTATATAACATATAATATTATGCAAGTTCTAAATACACTTTACTAAGTGGCACAAAATAATTATGTTATCTTAACTTATCCTGTTTGCAAAGCACATCCTTTAGGAAGAATTTTATATAACTCCTATTATTTCCCCCCCCACAGCTGACCAATTCCCCACCTTTTTGAAATCTGTGAAGATCTGCAATAACTGTGCATATTGGATAGCAACACATATCAAAGTCATAATATCAGTAGAGTTTTAACTTGATTAAATACAGAGGAATGTATTTGGAAACAGTTGGAAAACACTGGTATTGGTAATGTGTAAGGAAAAAGCAACAGGACAAGAGAGCTGCTTGAGAGAAGAGTGAGTTTTATTTGCTAAGTCACTTTAGGAACAGTTCCCCCCCCCCTTTTTAATTTAAGTCCTCACAACATAGATAAGCTCCACCACTGCCCCAGACTCAGGCACAGAGAGGTCTGAATTAGAACTGAAAGCTGGAGCATGTTGACAGCATGGCCTGTGCTCAGTTTGGTTTTGTACCAGAGCCCAGAGAGGCATTAGGAGGCTAGAAAATGTGTACAGCACCACCCTGAGCAAGTGAGACAGCACCAGGAGGCCTGTTCCTGTTCTGTCTGTGCCCTCCTTCTCCAAAAGAGACATTCTGCCTCTGCCCTCCATTCAAAACCATTTCAAATACAGTTGTACTTACCTACGTCTATGGGCTTGACTGACATCAAAGGTGACCACAGAGGTGTAACACCAACCATCATCTTCAGCCACATGATGTAAGTGTAGTTGAGTCTCAGGGCAGGCACACAGCACTCACACCCATCATACTCACTGCAGTCACACTGAGCAGCCATGACAGTCCCCTTCAGAAAGCTCGTAGATACATCCCCCAGAGACAGCTCTGACCTGCAAGGGAAGGAGCAAACCATAAACCAAACCAGCACCTCAACAGAGTTTGTCCATCTGGATAAGGCTTATTGATAAAGGTAAAAAAGTGAATAATTGCAACCAATTGCTTTTACTTTGCTGCTTCTCCTTTTTGAAATGGTTTCCAAGTTGTTAAGATGCCTTCATGAAAAGTATTCCTAAGATTTGACTTTAAAACAAATGTGTTGCAATCCTAGATGATAGCTGTAGTTCAGTCAGACTAGTTTCTGATTCCTGTTGGTAACTATTACTACATACATCTCAGGCACCCAAAGTTAGTTTACCTTACAGTAGACTAACAGCCCACCACCACCCTCACAGAGATTATGTTTCCGTTCCTATTCATGAGGCACTGAAATGAAATCTAAACAATTTAACATCACTTCCAGCTTCTGATACAACAAAGCATTACAAATAATAGAATAAGCAACCATTTTTCAAGTGAAAAACAAGTTTTGAAGCGAAAGGCTAAAGAATTCCACCATTCAGAACAAGTTTTAGTTCTCATTTTCAACAACTTATAGTACTTGAAACAGAAAGACATCCGAGTCTTCCAAAAGTCTTAATATCGTGCAGTTAATTCCAAGATAAGGCTTTAATTATTATGTTCTTTATTCTCATTTCTCTTTCACAGATATCCTTTAGGCTCTTTCAAACTCAGACGCATGTTTATGGTGCACTGCAGGTATTCAGTGGCACAGACCTCCTTAAGGTAGGGAATTTAATAGCACAAATACTTTGGCCAAACTTCTCACAGCAGCAAAGCCAAGACAAATCCTGAGAGTTAAACCATCCTAAATTCTTTCCTGATTTTGACATTTCATCCTTGTAACAAAAATCTTGTGTTTTAAATTGTCCTGAAGTGATTCTGGAATTGTTTCTGTATAGTAAAGGGTTTGTGTTACTTATTCAGAGAAAGCAACTGAAGTTAATGGTATAAAAACCTTTCTGTGAAAGCGTTACAGTTTTAGAGTTGGTGTGACTCACTGTTAACACTTGAATTCAGGGAGGGCACAGAACTCTACACTGGAAAAGAAGAAAGGACAAGATTTTCTGCTTTGTTTTAGTGGATTTGGTGTATAGTACATTTAATGGGCTGTAGAGCACACCGGAAATGGGAATGATTCACTGATCCCAATGCCATCAACTGCCCTACTTAAAAAAGAAAAGGTCAGAACCTGAGGAAGGCTTGGAAGTGAGCAAAGGGCTGATGAATTACAGGGAAGAGCCTGTGTGAATCATGCTGACTGGGACTGAAAGGGAACCTGCAATGAGCACACACAGATCCCCTGGCACCAGGGCCAACTCCCTTCATCATTCACTGATGCCCACACACACACGTTATGCATCCACCTTGTATTTAGGATGCTCTTTGAAGCTGTTTCTTTTTACCAGGACTCACAGAATTTAGGACAGGAGAATTATGGAACCTGATACTGATGGTATCTGGCAAACACAGAGCTTTTAAATTACTTGGAATATTTTTGGTTTTCTAGTTGTGGCTCCACTTCTTTCTCTGAATTTCCTTTCAAAGACTTCGCAGAATTGTCTTTTAAGTTTCCCTGCCTTGTATTGCTGATCGCAGATGTTATTAGTCTCAAAAAACCCACAATCAATCCGTAGGCTTCTCATCAAACCATGTCTTTAATCCGATCTATCTGGAAAGCAGTTACCACCCCATCACTGCCCCCAGCTTTCTCCTAATCATTACTTCAACTTTTAACCATCAAACTGAGTTTATCTGTACCCAGATGAGTCCCAGTGCGGGGGGGGGGGGGGGGGGGGGGGGAAGTGCTAGAAAGCTCCTCCCCATATTATGTTGTGCCATTATGTTTCAAAGGCCACTTATTTGTGAGCAAACAGGCATGAGATGTTATTTCTCGCTGTTTCCACCACACAAACTTTTGCATAGAATCCTAGACCATGTAGTTCCACAGGCAGGGACGCCTTTCACTAGAGCAGGTTGCTCCAAGCCCCATCCAACCCGGCCTTGAACACTGCCACGGATGGGGAAGCCCATTTGATTGCTTTACTGTATAAAATGCTGTGTGTAGGGATTCAAGTGTAACTGGAGGAACAGCCACGGCTCCAGGCCAGGCAGGTCTTCCACTCCTGTGTGACAGAGAATTACCAGTATCTCATTTCTCTGCTCTAGACTTCTCTTCCAGCTCACTACCTTTGCAGGCAGCCAGGGCACAGACGGGGGAAAGACCAAGCTATGTTACCACATGCCAGGTCTGCTGCTGGAGGAGGATATCCAGATACAAAAGCAGGGTAATGAGCTTTGCATTCCCATGTGCTGGCAAGACACAGGGACCATCTCAACAGATCAATGCAGGATATAACCTTGAGGACCCCACATCAACTTACTCCAACTTGCTAAGCCTGGCCTAAATCCATGAGAGCTGATCACAAGCAAAACAACAGAAAGCCAAAGTGCTTTGGAGATCAACAGTAGCCTGGGACTGCATGAGCAGCCCATCATCTTCAGTTTGGCTGCAGAGGGATCCTGTCACAGAATAACCATCCTTCCTAATCTGTACATACTGACTTTGGAGGAGTTTATGCTTATAAAGCCCTCGCAAGTTCAGAAGAGGTCAGTGCCTTCATTCCGTAGAATGAGAGGAGATATCTGGGGTAAACCTAAAATAAAGCAATAGACTATTAAAAACTGGAGTTTTCCATCACACTTGCAGCGCACCGACTTAGAGGAGCTATAAATCCCTGTTCAACAAGCACTTTACATCATGCAGCACTGATCACATCTAAGCCAGACCCAAACTGTGGTGGGGGGAAGGAAAGACAGGGGGCATATAAAATACGTAAGTGAATACTATGTCCTCACTCAGTTTTATAGTGCTGGCTGCTGGAATTGGAGGGATTTGTCCTGGCACAGAGAGGTAAGCATGAACGAGATAGGAACTAAGCATATGGACTTCTGAGAAGGGATTATCAGAGCCCACCTCTGAGATCCAACAGCAAACTAGTGAACTGGACTTAAGTTTTAATGGCTAGCAGAGAAGGGAGAGACAATGAGCAAAGACAATGCAACTTTAAGCTGGAAACATGGGACTAAAGCATAAGACACCGCAGAAGAGGACAAAAATAAGTAATTACTGCATGCCCTGAACCCCAGAAGTCATTAACATTGCAACAAGGGCATGTGTCCAAGGCTTGCTTTTCTTCTCCACTCCAAACACTGCACAGGGAATTCTCGCAGTCAACACCTTAACACCTCCTAGGTGGTTTATATTTTGGTGCACAGTTCAACCACGCTTCAGAAGGTGGTGGTACTGCTGCTGAATTAACCTGTGGCAAACTTGGAGACTTTAAATACAACCCTGCAGAATGTCTTTGCTGAATTTTAATCAGTTTCTTCCAATTAGAACACCAGAAACGAAAGGTCAGAATTGTTTTCGGAAGAAACACATGAACTTGTATAATTCCTCTGATTTCAGGAAAGGCAGAACATCACCTTTAGGCAGCTATACTGAGACATATCAGAAATAAAGGAATTGCAAGCCCTTTATTGTGCAATTTCTTTATTACGAATTGATGGGACAAAGCTGTCTGGGGCTCTAAGGATATTCAATAAGGTATCTCAATGTATTTGATAGACAGTAGCTCTAGGACAAGACTGATTTGAACAAGCTGTCCCATTAAACTGCAGAACACCTGATGGCTGCCTGGCTGCTGAGAGGGTAAGTCTCTAATGCAAGGTTAACGTTCTTCAGCTGAAGAAGGGTCAATGTGTAACTGATGCACTCAACTAAGCCATCAGCCTCCAGGCAAATTGCATGATTTCTCCTTAAAAACATGGGAGCTTAGGCAGAGAACTAAAGGAAAGCCTCAAAGGTACTTCAAATAGGTCTGAGATATCAGTTCATCATATACATCACCATCTGCTGAAAGGGCAAATTATAATCAGTCTCAAAATTAAACTGGAAGCATTCATCTGTGTCACTACAAAAGGATCCCTAAGGCAAAGTGATTTTAGTTGATGTAATTAACCATCAAGGTTTACAGCATTCCTAGAATACATACAACTGGAAAGCACATTCACTTTTGGTGGAAAAATCAGCCTCATTTGTCTACTTAAGCTTCAGAAAAATCCTCCTCCCAAAGACGTGCTGCTAGGGAAGGTAAAAGCCCTGTCATTACCTCTTATAGAATATACTGTGATAGCTCTGCTTTGGACAGAAGAAAACATTTCTTATTCAAAGTAACTTGGTATCATTTAGAAGCAGGATGTGTAAAATAAAAGGATGCTACTTCAATGCTGAAAAAATTAAAAGCTGCTGAGGACTTGAGCTTTTTTGTTGTAGATTCTTCTAGGTCATTATTTTAGTGCATTGCCTGTCCTGTATGTGAGAATTCTGGCTTGATCTCCAGACTCCCAGGGAGAAACACATGCCAGGAATGCATATTTTTAAAACTGGGAATGTTTTCAAGGTATTTTGGCTGATGTGACTAAAATGTCAAGGTATCAGCAAGACCAACAGGGAAAGCTGTCACTTCACCAAAACCTCAACTGCTTTGCTAGCTGATCCCCCAGAAGACAAGGACCTGAAAAGAGAAATATGAACATGAAATGTGGGGAGTGAAGTAAGTTCTCCCATGTGAGGGCCTGCGCTGCACCTCAGCTCTGCAGCACAAAGTAATCAAAGACAGAAATGCCACAAAGTCTCTGGTGAGTCCATAGGGGCTGCTCTCACAAATTGCATGACACTTACTGAATGCCCTTCCTCATACAAAGAGCCTGTTCATCCCAGCTTGGACTCAAATCCCTTGTTCCATGGATGTTAGGCATACCAGAAAAATTCAATAGAGAGATTACCACACTAGGATTAGTGGCAAAGATCTTCCTATTGCAGTTGAGACTGGATGGAACAGAGGCAAAGTCAGATCTACTTCCCCCACAAACACCCAGAATCAGAAATCAAAGTAATGGGGAACACTGGAAACAGAAACCCACTCAAAATCTGATTTCAGCTTTGAAGTATTATGTCAACCAAACACCTACAGTTATTACTAGTTAATACACCTGCTTCTACCCTGACTCCAGGGGCAATTTGTGTGATATCTGGCTTTTAAAGTAGAAGTAATCAACTGTAAATTCAGCTTATTCACCTATTGATGTTTAACCTGTTTCCTACGTCTGCGTGTTCACCCCATTCCTTCCAGTCTATCGGTAATTCAGAACAATCTGTGTGGCCTCATAAGTAGAATCAAATGGACCTTTTTGTGATCAGTTCAGGCAGGTCATGTACAAGATCTGCCCACCCACCAGTCAGGATGACGACCATCTATTGCCATCCCAGAAGGTATTTCACACAGTGACAACTGCGCAGGTGAGTGTCCCTCAGAGGCATCAACATGATCAGAGTAGCATTTGGCATTGTATTAATATTAAATAGTGTAATTACTTCAAGAGAGAGAACATTATGGCCAAAAGCGTAAAAAAGGCAAAACCAAAAGCACAGCTTTAAATTAAGCTATTGTAACAGCAAAGATATTCTCAAGTCAATACTGATTTCATTAAAGTATTTTAAGAAAGGACAGAGGAGAGGGACTCTCCACTGCAACCATTTGTCATTTAAAGACAGAAACCATTTCCATATTGTCCAAAATTACTTTTAGATAAGACAAAGGTTCATAACGTATCATCTGCTTGCAAAGCTAATGCAACACCACACTGCAATTTGGATTTCTAATGCTAAGAGTGACAAACTTAACAGAGTCTGTACTTACACAGTATAGAAAAGATTAACCTTCAGGTCATCTCTCAAGTTCAGCTTCAAAAACTTCAGAGTACAAACCAGCAGGTCCAGCTTGCCTTTAGTCCAACATTCAATGGTCCAATTTGAATCTGAGCAAAAGAAAGAAATTAAAAATTTATGAACTATATTAAAACAAAACAAACCCCAAACCCAGCTGAAGAGCCAGGGTAAAATCCACTCACAAAGAGAGGACAAGTAACAGATACTCATGAAGGTGAGGGTGGACCACAAGTGTGCAAATGTTTATGAGTAATCTTTGCTGAACTGGGCACCAGTGTGTGCCCTTAAATGCTTTAAGGGCTGATACTGCTGCATTCTAATTGTTAGAGAAGGAATATATTTTACCTGGCTTTACAGACCAGGCCACAAGGGGAAGAAAGAAATGAAGTTGCTGCTGCTGGTTGAGGGTTTTGCTGCTGTTAACTGGTACAGCCTCTATGTGGCTATACTTTATGCGTACATGCATCTGTACTGAACACAAAACATCAACACATTTAGTGTGGCAGCCTGTAACAGGGATTTATTTGTTCCATGGGATAGTTCTCGTAGAATGAAATGCTAACTCTGTCGAGGTCAGTGAGACTCCTGCCACTGATAGCAGTATGCCAAGAGGCTCCATGCTCCTCAGAGACTGTGGTTTACAGGAGACCAGCCTAGGTAAAACTAATTCAACCTAAGCCATGTACTGATATTTACTGAGGCACAATCACGGTCCAGGCAGAAATGATGGCACTTGCTCTTCATCTCCCCCACCTTCTGAGGGAGTTTAAAGCCCAAATTCACAAAAATACTTAAAATATTTCTCATAGCATCTAACACCTTTGAAGATCTGGGCTTGTGCAGTGCCACATATTTTATTCAGCATTTCCTTAGAAAGGCAGCCAACTTTTTTTACCCTTTGAAACTGTGCTATGCAATTTCCTTCATCTTCCAGTACAGAATACTGCGAGGAAGGGTTTGACCAGACTGTGTTGTCTGCTCTGAATACCCATCAATACAACCCACATACACCCCCTCCCAACCAACACAAAACCCCAACCTCTTTTTGAAGAAGTAACTTCTTACTCCCTTGACTGGAAAACCAACCTTTTTCCTGAGAAGCAGAGCTACTTATTTCTGAAGGAATAAACTTCCTTGCTTGCATGCTTGCTCTGTACAAAGAACAATCAATGTTGCTATCATTCCAAAGGCAGCACAGAAAACTTTCTTCATCCATTAGCAAGGGAGGTTCGGTTTTGGATGCTCCATGCCCTCTCCTCAAACCAGACCAGCTCTCTACAACTCCAACAGAGAAAGGACTCAAAACTGTTTCATTTAGCAGCATACAGGGTAATGTAAAGTTCCTGGAAGGAATTTGATGGAGCATACAGTGGGCAACTGCCATCTGAAGAAAGTCTGCAGATACAAAGGCAAAGATATGAGAAATTAAAAGTTCACATTACTTGAAAATGAAAACCGAGTGGCTGGTGTTATAGAGAAATACATACATTACATAAAAATCAGACTGTTTCCAGGGCTATTCTCTGAGCTGCAGACAAAATGACTAAAATCATCCCCTCTGAACTGGTGTCACAACTAACATATGTCAGCCTTTTCCCCAGAGTCACTACACCTAGCTTCTTGTTTTCTCAGCCTCTTGAAAGACAAACCAAGACTGTAGGGGAAGCATCTCTCTGGGATAAATTGGCTTATAGTAATTCAAAATACAGTGAACCATAAACCCAGGTTCACAGAGGTCTCATTTCCCCCTGCAGTGCTGGGACATTTGCAATCCAGCTCTTATAACACAGCTCTGTTACTGTAGAAAAAATCATTCCATTGTAAATATAACACATAATCACATTACAACTGTTAGATACCAAAGGACAGTGTTACAAGAATATCCAGTAGATGTAATGACACAACCCCAGGGCATTATGTGGGAAATGAGACGCAGGAAAAGACTGATCTTCTCCATAAGACTTGCATTCTTCAAAATAAAACTGCTCTGACCACATCTGTAGCTCCCATTGGTCAGTCATAGCTTGAATTACACTAACACTGATTTTCAGAATGACGAGCATGTTAGTTTTGGAAATGGCTTCTCTAAAACACTGTGTGAATTTCAAAGAGTAAAGCTCTAGTTACAGAAAGGTATGTGGGTATTTGTGCATTTTGCATGCAGTTTTTCACTCAGGAAGGGCAGAAATATTTTAAGCAGTCCATCAGATAGAAATTAATTGATGCTCTATGCCTTGAATAGGCAAAAAAGAAAACCAGAATTTCTCTAGCACTGTTTAATAGCATATAAGCATAAGCTAAAAGATACAAAATGAATGAATTTCACAGAATGAAAACTTTGAAAGAGTAGATTCACGCTACTTTAAAAGTAGACATTGTGTTACTATGCAGAGTGCTAAAGTGTTGTTTCCTCTTTACACAGATCTTGTATTCTAGACCCCTGAAGTTCTGCTCCTTCCTCCTCTCTCATCTAACAGGGTTTGTGCCTTTGTAAATCCCAGTTTCACTGAGCCTCCTGGCTGCACGTGGAGGATTCAGCTGACCAAACACACTATTAGTCCATAATACATGATTTAAAAAAAGGACAAACGAGTAAGTGACATGACTGCCTGTGAAGCAAGACAGATAAGTAATGTAGTACCCAGTCCACAGCATTCATTGAGGGTGGGAAGGAATTCCTGCCCATCACCTCTTTTCCTACAAAACCACTTCCCCCTCACAGATCACACCAAACAACCCCAAGGCATTAATTAAACCCTATAAAATCAAAGTGTGCGCAGAAATGTAAAAAAGAGAACTAAAATGCATTGCAAGAGGGCTTAATACAGCTCTGCTATAGCTCTTCAATGCCCATTAAAAAAACACAGCATGAATTAAAGATGTTTTCCAGCTACAGATGTAACGGTTTGTCCATGACACAGGCACAGAGAAACCATCATTTAGCAGTCCTGTCCCCAGAGCAGCTGTGTATTTGCATGTCTGGGTTAACAGGGCTACAAAGATGCCAGCCATGGCTATCTGCTTATTCAGAATTAGGTGAAGATGGCTAGTTAGTAGATACACTGACTTGCAGTCATTACAGGCCATCAGTCAGCAGCCAACTGCTCTGAAGCCTGATGAAGACTTCCTGAGACACAAATTTTGAACCTGACTTCACTGGATTACAGTATCTACTCTCTCCCTAAGCATCATCACCAAAAGCCTTTAAATAGTTCCTATTTTAGTTAAAAAAGGCAAAAACCAGCTGTCTCTGAGCAGCATTCACCAGTATTGTTACAGATGTTACTACATCCAACATTTGCAGTTAGCTGAGCACCCTTCAGCAACACTGTGCACTTGAAAGCTAGAATATCAGCTACCTGAAAAAGCAGAGCTCCAACTCATTGACAGCCTGGCTACACTGAACAGAAACTCCGCAGTTCTGATGGAACTGGGATTTTCCTTTCTGGTTTTGGACTTACCAAACAAAAACAAATTCCCCATGAACTTCTGTCTTACGAAATTCTGACTGGGACACTTACTTGAATGCATCTTGACTCAACACACACTTTCTACTGATGCTTCCTGATGTTAAAAGAAAGTTGCACTGCTGTTGGGGATAAGACACATAGGCACAAGCTGAGGGTGTCAACATTTCAATTCCACACAATGATAACATGAAATCCTTTGCATATTCCAGTTGCATGTTGTGATGAGATACTAACCCAGTAGCATGACTTGTAACAACACTGTAAAACAGAAATGGTGATCACTCTTCACTGTACATAACTTCCAACAGAATTACGTGTTTTAGTAACTTACCCAATAGCACAAGCAGGGTCAGACTGATTTGCCAATACATCTTGTTTTGGAGAGCTGATCTGAAAAATATAGAGAAAATTAACTGAGAGCTGGTAATTATCAGTCTATTATTTTAATAAGATTCATTTGATAACAGCTTATAAGCAGAAAGGAAAAACAAAATCAGAATGTCATTTAAAGCAAAAAACCACATTTCTTAGGCTGCTTAGAATATCAATTGAATATCAATACAGATCTTTCTTTCATCATTGGAGCTATTTAGTACTTAATTTCTCAGGCTTCTGCTGATCATTGTTCACCTTCTGGGTTGATCACCTGAAGGGCACTACAAATCCAAACAATCAAACTGCCCAAGAGATCATCAGTTTTCAAACTGTAGCATACACTGAAGCACTCAGGCACTCATTTCATAGAATGATAGAATCCCAGAACTGATTTGGGTTGGAAGGGACCTTAAAGCTCATCCAGCTCCTACCCCTGCCACGGGCAGGGACACTTTCCACAGGAGCAGGTCACTCCAAGCCCCTGTGTCCAACCTGGCCTTGAACATTGCCAGGGATGGGGCAGCCACAGCTTCTCTGGGCACCCTGTGCCAGAGCCTCAGCACCCTCACAGGGAAGAGTTTCTGCCTAAGAGCTCATCTCAGTCTGCTTTCTGGCAGGTTGAAGCCATTCCCCCTTGTGAGCAACGACTTCACTGAACTTGACAGCAGTATTTCAATATTGTTCTTTCATTTCAGGTACTTCGGTCTTTCTTATTTTCATCCCATAGTTATATAAATTCTGTAAACCCCAGATATAAGCACTTTTAAACTTAAAAAAAAAAAAGAAAAAGCAGCTCAGTAGATGGTATCAGAGTAAAACATACAGATTTTGGTTGCTGCTGCAGTTAACCAAAACTAAATGATCAGTAAAATTTACAGCTCAAGTAAGACAGAGAATGCTGGGGCAAGAAATAAGATTCAGTGAGTCCCTCCAAATTATTCTCATTCCTTAAATATTTCTGAGAACAATTTCCTTGAGAACATCTATGTTGCCAAAAGAACTGGTGCCAACACTGTGTAATCCACTGGCCCTCCAGTTTAGGGTTCACATACTGGACTATATGTACATGTATGTTACACACAGACTGCCACAACAGGAGAGTCGCTTTACTGGCTACAGAGCAGCTCGTTCTGCAGCCTGGAAGGAAAGTGCATGTGGGCACAGAAGATTAGGAGAGAAAAAGGCTGATTCCTTCCTGGTTTTCACCACTCCTGTTAGGGCACAGTCTGAATACATCCCTGTTGTCGCACACAGGCACTTCAACAAGCCCCATGGAGTGGAGGGTCAGCCCCACAGAGGAACCAGTGGCTGCTAATAAAACCAAAGAATACTATACGGAAAGCCACCCTCACTCAGAGCTATCTCTCCCTTTGCCCTCACCAGAGACCTTGATATGATCATCCAGTGACCCTGACACTGCTTTAAGCCTTGTGCACAGCCTAAAGCAGAGGTGATTTAACAGAAATAGCACCCACCTGCAGCAGCAGCAAACCTAAGCTACAGTATTTTAGTATTCTTGCCTCCCTGTAAGCTTGTTTCCCTCAAGGAGAGGCCTTGCAAATCCAGCCAGAGCCAAGCCATTCTTTTAGCACAGACCATCCTCCTTTTGGTCTACAAGATGAGTCAGTCCAAGCCACTTTCCTCCCCATTCACCCAGGTTATAATCAGAGTGCATTTTAAGCTACATTTTGAGCAATTCAAGAGGAAAGCTCAACATTTCAAAGGCAGTGCTTCACAAACCCCTGCTTCAGAGGAAAATGTGCCTCTCAGCACAGCTGTTAGGAGGCCTTACCCACACCTCTTCCATTAGCCTATTTCTTAATAGGTGAGCCATGAAGGCCAGAGGAATTATGTAGCAACAATCTCTATTAAATCTGCCATTTCACAAAGGTACAGGCCAGGATCATTTCCAAAAGCAGATGATTGAAGTTATCTAGATTTTTCCAAAGTTTCTGACTGAATAAAACCCCCAACCTTTTAAAATACTTTACTTGACATAAGTGTACACTAGTGCTCATACTATTAGAGGTATGGTTTAATGAAAAACAGGCCATTTCCCTCTTCTACAGGTGTAGCAAAAATTTGTTCACAGCTCAACCACTTCCCAGTAGGAAACTGGCAGAAATCACTTCCATATGGAGAATAAAAAAATCAGACATACATTTCAAAAGCCTATCAAAGTTACCAATACATCACAGATATTGGTGAAAATGCTTGAAAGCTCTCATTTTCAAAACAAGTAGAAAAATTACACCACCGAGGGCTCTAAATAATCCACAAAGTTGTGGTCCATCACTTGCTCTCCCATCACAGGCGCAAGAAGCAAGAGCTGTCACCCTAATATCTCAGCCCTATTGCTCCTTGAAGGAAAGAACCACTATTTTGGTAACTACACATATTCCATTGTACTATTTCACAGCAGAATGTGAACCATCACATCACTTGCTACTGGAATTAAGATGACAAATACTTAATGGTGTTAACAGCAGCTGCTGTGTTAGTTTCACCCTGCAATACCTACTGTAGATGGGAAAGAAAGCAACCACAGGTCCCCAGAACCACCTGCCCCTCAAAGAAGGAAAGCTATAATTCTGTAGTCTACTGGAGATGAAGGCATTTTCACTCCTTGCTACCATAAAAATGGCCAGATAGAGCAATCAAAGAGATTCCGATATCAGCACTGGTTTAACTATAATTAACAATACATGGACTAGAAGGCAAAAGTACAGCTCAGACCAGCCTGAGACATCTTCTCTTCCTACTCCTATTGCAACTGCCTGAGGTTGCTTTTTAAAAAGGTGTTATTTTTTAATCCTGGTTCCAACAACATCCATGAACAATAAATAGTACTGTACATGACCTCAAAGCAAAATAAGCTGCATGTCACCAGCACTTGCTCCTTTTCTCTTCAAAGTTCAGTAGTGCTTGCATAAACTTTACACAGGAGTTGGGTCAAAGGAGATGCCTACAGACAGGACAAGCTGAATGTAAGACTTGACTGGACAAATACCTTTTCTAGTGAGAATACGGAACTTATCACAATTCCTAACTGCACTGTAGGGAATATAAGTTTTACAAGAAGAGTTACAGGGAACAGGAAGTTAAAGGAGAAATAGAAAAGCTTGTAACTATAGCTGTGTTCCAGTCAGAGTAAGTTCACACAGCAAGGACAAATGGTTTTATGAGTGGCTGGAGAAGTATCTATAAAACAGGAGGAATCAAGGCCCTTTTTAATAGGTCTATGTTAAGATACTGCACTCTGAAACCACCCACTTTGCTGCTGTGTACAAGAAGTTTCCAATTTCATATGTAAATATTGTGCTCCTCTCCATGCTAAACACGGTGCAATGAACTTCAGCAAGCCCTGCTTTAACAAAACCATCTGATTAAAACCAAAACACAGCAGATATGACAAGGAAGACAACACTGAAAGTCAGATCGTTTGCCTTTACAGGCCAGCTGAGAAGTTATAAAACCCACTGGCATATTAGCAAGGGAAACATTTTCAGCACAGCCTGAAACAAACATAGTTTGTGACCCACAGACACCTGCTCACTGGGCATGGAAAATGCACTGGAAGTTTTCCTTTCCTTTCTGGAGCTGCTTTTTTATTTCACTTTCTTGCCTTGATAACTTCCATTTGTGCAGGTCTCCTTTGTGAACTCCAGAAAGAGGTCTGATGTGAAACGAGGACCGCAGGATGCGGCAGGTCTACCTGTCCAGTGTGAAGAGTGAACAGAGGGTGGCACTGGTGACCACGAGTGTCAAGTTTCCACAACCCATCCTGGATGCAGCTAGCAGCACAACCCTGGTACACACAACCGTGACACCACTAAACTCAAGCTGTAAAATTCTCCCCAGCTTTTACAGCAACAAAGAGAACAGATCAGCAGATGTTGTAAGATCAGAGCATAATACGTTAGTGTTTTTCAATGAGCAATTTGAAAGCCTATAGATATGTATAGAAAGTTGCCAGGATCTCTCTTCCCTCAAATGATGCACCCCACACACATACAGAGTCTGGAGTTCTCCATCCTTATTCCCACCCTCCCCAGAAAACAACAACAGCTGCTAGTTAATGGGAAGCAGGCACATAATCCCACAGGCACACAAACTGTCCCTGACTTTTGCAAGCACTCCACTACAGCTGGCTTTAAATATTTAAAAGATCTCTATAAAGCATAGCCATATTTTAGTAATCATGCCTCCGCACATCTCCTGGCCTGCTCTTTAATGGTGCTGAGGGCTTCCCAGTCCTGTTGGTTTTGGCAAGCCCAATGGTTGTTGGTCAGCCCTCCTGGGCTTGGAATTTCATCCCATTTGTTTGTCATTTAGTGTATTAGAAAACATTACTAATGAGTTGAGAGCAAATGGAACATGCTAAATAGCAATGAGCATGACTAGCATTAAATACGTGTGCTTTTTAATATGAAATCCTTAACCAAGCAACGCAAGTTCCGTGTTTTCCTACATGCTCAGTACAGTGGAACTAGCAGCAGTTACCCTCGTCTCACTCGCGCATGACCCCAGAGCCGCAAAACGAGCTCCAAGTGTGCTGATGGAGCCTCTCCTCGTGGCCCAGCAGCAAAACATCCCAAATTGTGGAGACCTTCTGCAGGTTGTACAAATCCTCCTGATTTTGGTGGAGCTTCCCCTTCACTTCACACATCCACGCTGCTCACGGGTAGGTTCCCCTCGGCACCGGACGGACGGCAGGGAGCACAGCATCCCCACTAGCCAGCATTCAGTCACAGCGCGGTCTGGCCTGGATTGCAGTACTGAACTTTGTGCACGCTCCTGACACACCGTTTGAGACTGACGCTGCATGAACAGTCCCGGTTCTAAGTCAGCAATAGAGAAAAGTGGTTTTAACATGAACTTTGCCTCGTTGCTTTGCACTGAACATGTATTTGGTTTTCCTCGCAGGGCTCCTGTAGTCATCTGCTACTCAAACCTCCTTCATGCTATAGCCACGCTTGGTCGTTACAGGGCTCTCGGTGTTACAAACTCTTGTTTATGAACGCCATAACTAACACTACATTTCCAAAGCACTCCTCCACCCGAGCAGAACAGCATCACTGACTCCCAAACCACACGAAAGATTTCCTTTTTACTTTTGCCTCAGGCACTAAGCCTCAAGAACAAAAGGAGAGGGAACAGGTCTGACCTGGGCGCACCGTGCTACCTCCGAACTTGGCTGGCCCTGCAGAGCTGACCTGAGGGAAGGAGCACGCTCGCCACCAGTCCCACACACCCCTCAGCGTGTCCTGGCGACAACCGAAGGCCTTTCCCGTGCGGCACCCCCCGCTCTGGGCACGGGAAAGCCGCCGGAAACCTCAAGTGCAGAAACGCGAGGACATAAAAGCCGAAAGTGAACTCACGGATCTCCCGGGGTCACAACCGAGGAGCTTCGCCGCGTCCCGCCGGGAGCAGCAGGGCCCCGCCGCTGCCGCCCGCTCCCCTCAGCGGCCCCGCTCAGCCCCCGCCGCCACCCGCGGCCCCGCCTCGTCCTGGCGCCCCGCCCGCGTTACCTCACGGCTCGGCGGCGGCGGGGAGGCCGGTGCCCCCTCAGAGCAGCCGTAACCCCCCGGGATGGGGATGGGGCAGGGGCAGGGCTCGGCTCTCCTCACACACAAGACGGGGGTCACACGGGTACGTTAGAGCCCTGGTCGCCCTGTAGCCCAAACCGTGTCCAGAGCCACCGCCATCGCTTCCCTCACCAGAGCGGGGTTAAGCTGTGGTGCATCGAGCTGAAAAGTTACAGCACAGGCAGCCAATTCGTTCTTAGTAAAGCCTACGAACAAGTAAGTACCTTCATACTGAAGAGGTGGCAAGTCTGCACACATCCCAGCACGGGGAGCCCATCCTTGCTGGTTGGGTTGGAAGGGACCTTAAAGCTCCTCCAGCTCCAACCCCTGCCACGGGCAGGGACACCTTCCACTAGAGCAGCTTGCTCCAAGCCCCTGTGTCCAACCTGGCCTTGAACACTGCCAGGGATGGGGCAGCCACAGCTTCTCTGGGCACCCTGTGCCAGCGCCTCAGCACCCTCACAGGGAAGAGCTTCTGCCTAAGAGCTCATCTCAGTCTCCCCTCTGGCAGCTTAAAGCCATTCCCCTTGGCCTGTCCCTACAGGCCCTTGTCCCAAGCCCCTCTCCAGGTTTCTTTTCCAGCCTCCAGGAAGCAGTCAGTGCCGCCTGGACCCACACAAACGTTTCTTCAGAACTGAATTAACGTTCACCTTAAATATTCCGGTTGTTGGTTTTAACAGTAGAGGCTGTACAAAGTAGCCGGTTATTAACATCAAAGGAGACAGAAAAGCACAGGGAATGCTTTGTTGTATTAAACCTATTCATTGTGTCCCACGGATCTCTGAATTTTCACAAAATTATACACATAAATGTTGTGAATTATTGTTCAGAACCCAATTTTGCCTATTTGTCAGCAGAAGGACAAAGACTGTAAAAGTCTGCTTCAGGTACAGGTCACTTCAACAGCACATCGAGCAGTGCTTCACAATGGAGTTGTGACGATATGTTGACAGATCATTATTTCCTGCTATCTCATAAACTACACATTTCTGTGAACAATGAGGATGCAGGGAGACCGTTTTCATCTCTTCACTACTCCTCCATAGCTAATGTTGTTTTAATACCAACTATACGTGGATTGTCAGCACAAAGACTTTAACTTAAACCCCCAGAGCCATACCAAAGAAATGGGACAGTGACCATTAATAGCTAAAACTAAATGTCACTTCTGGCTTGAATTGTTAAAATGAGGTCTTTGGGTATTCAGTTTGTGAAGACCAGGTCTGCAGGGGGAAAAGGCACAGCTACAGGTTGGGCAGAGAAGAGATTCAGAGCAGCCCAAGGAGAAGGACTTGGGGGTGTTGGTCAATGAGAAACTGAACATGAGCCGGCTTCAGTGTGCGCTTGCAGCCCAGAAACCAACCATATCCTGGGCTGCATCCAAAGGAGTGTGACCAGCAGGTCCAAGGAGGTGATCCTGCCCCTCTGCTCTGCTCTTGTGAGACCTCACCTGGAGCACTGTGTGCAGTTCTGGTGTCCTCAACATAAAAAGGACACGGAACTGTTGGAACAAGTCCAGAGGAGGCCATGAGGATGATCAGGGGCTGGAGCACCTCCTGTATGAAGATAGGCTGAGGAAGTTGGGGCTGTTCAGCCTGGAGAAGAGAAGCTGCGTGGAGACCTCAGAGCAGCCTTCCAGTGTCTGAAGGGGGCCTATAGGGATGCTGGGGAGGGACTCTTCATTAGGGACTGTAGTGACAGGACAAGGGGTAACGGGTTCAAACTGAAACAGGGGAAGTTTAGATTGGATCTAAGGAGGAAATTCTTTCCTGTGAGGGTGGTGAGGCACTGGAAGGGGTTGCCCAGGGAGGTTGTGAATGCTCCATCCCTGGCAGTGTTCAAGGCCAGGTTGGACAGAACCTTGGGTGAGATGGTTTAGTGTGAGGTATCCCTGCCCATGGCAAGGGGGTTGGAACTGGATGATCTTTAGGTCCTTTCCAACCCAAACCATTCTATGATCCTATGAAAAGCAAACATCCCCAGGCAAAACAAAGTGGTTCTAGAATGAGGAACCGCCACACCATGGCAATCTGTACTTCTCCAAAAGGCTACACCATGTGTAGCTTAGCAGCTGCCCTCACATGGACGTCAGAATTCCAGTCACTAAGATAAAAACTCCACTTCCTTGCATGTTTGTGCTTTCTTCTCACACACATGTGAATTCCCAGCTTGGATCAGGCCCACAGTAGAACACACACCAAGAGTACCTTCTCTCTAGTTGTGGTTTAACCCCAGCCAGCAGCAGGCCCCATGCAGCCATTTGCTCACTGCCTACAGTGGGATGGGGGGGGGAAGAGGACTGGAAGGTAAAAGTGAGAAAAGTCATGGGTTGAGAGAAAAGCATTTTAATACTTGAAATAAAATGCTAATAATAATATTTGTACTAAAAAGGAGGACATCAGTGGGAGAGAAATCAAACCCAAGACAGACAAGGGATGTGAATGAGAGCAATTGCTCACCACTAACCAACCAATGCCTATCCCATCCCCAAGCAGCAGCCTCCCCACCAGCCTTCCCCCCAGTTTATTGTTAAGCACGATGTCCTATGGGCTGGAACATCCCTTTAGGCAGTTGGAATCGGCTGTCCTGGCTGTGTCCTCTTGCAGTGTCTTGTGCACCCCCAGCAGCACGTTGGTGAGGTGGAGGGAGGAGCAGAAAGGGCCTTGACTGTCCGTAAGCGCTGCTCAGCAGGAAGGAAAACATCCCTGTTATCAACTCTGTTTTCAGTACAAATCCAAAACACGGCCCCATAGTAGCTACTATAAAGAAAGCTGACTCCACCCCAGCCCAAACCAGCACATGCCAGGTGTCACCATAGATATGGCAAGAAACCCTACCAAAGGAGGCTTGGAACAAATACAAAACCAAACAGCCGAAGCAGAGATTACAGGTTGGCTACAACCCCAACGTAGATAAAGAATCTATTCCATTTGCCATGAAGATAACAATGTTGAACATGGCATTAGGAGCACGAAGGATAACAGAAGAGCAAGGAAACTAAAATTGCTATAGGCACAGTAGGGAGAACACTGGAAGAGTTTAATACATCAAAACAGAGTTATGAGCAAATTAGCATGTGAAATTGCAAGACCCAGGCACTGGTATTTTAACCAAATCTGTTAAGGAGTAACACAA